CTGTACAGGATTAGAGGTCTGGGTGGGAGGGGAGGCTTCTATCGCCCAGGACCACATGCTGGAAATTTGACCAAAAGAGGGTCTTCCTGAAGTTTAAAATCTTAGAGGGGATGATGTCAGCACTCAGAAGGGAACTGGAAGGACTCTCCACCCTCACTTCCTTGACTGGACAGACAGGAACCCTGGGGCAGATGCCTATCCACTCAAGGAACTGGAAAACCCAATTTGGGTCCATGAATAAATTCTCACGGTCACAGCCTGCGGCGAGAAGGCAAATGGAGGCAGCAGATCGTCTGCTGAATACATACAAGTTCTAAGCCAAACCCGCAAGCTGTTCAACAGGCTCTGCCCTCGTATCTTGACCCATAGTCCTTCAAAAGCATAAAAATTGTAAATGTATACAAAGTTTTGGTTTATACATGACTGAAAGGTAGCAAAATGCCCAAGATGGCCAAGCTGAATTTTTGCTGCGCATGTCCGGGTGCTCTGCTGATGGGCTGACCATGTCGAGATGAATAATGAATACATGTATAATTCCTAAGTGATTATAACTATTCCGTGAAACTTGTTTTTCTTATCTTCCTTTCAGCAAAATCACTATGTTATTGTCAAGATTTTAAAATATATTTAAGGATTAAAGACATACTTATATTCAAACTACAAAAACGTAAATATATTTTTATAAAAATAAATTTATGTAAAAAATTTTAATTACTTTTTCCAAAAATTAACTTTTTAAAATATTGAAAAGTATTTAATGATTTAAAAGGCAAATACAAATTAGAGTTAATGTATAACAAATTTTTATATCAAAATTATTTACGTAAATCCAAACATTTAATTTCACTCTTGGAAAGCTTAATTTAATTTTAAGTAACTTTCAGTTTTAAAATTTAATTTAAATTATAAACTTTATTGAACATTTAATTTAAAATTTACAGAATGTTTAAAGCAAAAATGTCAAAATTCCTAATTCTCGCATCAATGCCCATCTAGTTGCCAGTGTAAAGAGTCCATATCATGTTATTCTACACTCTAGACATAAAGACACATTTAAGACTAAGGTGTAATGTGATTTATGTGGTATTGCAAAAAATGCCCTCAGTTTCCATTTACAACTGAGGCAAATACTGTACAAATTCGTGGGCCCCTCCAGAACCACTAACAGGAACACGAAAACAAAAAGGTGTACACTCAGTGTTAATAGAAAATGCTATTTCATCACACTCATATCTACTCTCTGAGAGAAACACTCTGATGAGGTCGTTAATTTTTCCCTTTACCTGCTCACCCTCCCGAACGGTACCCCGCAGGGGCCCCGGTAAGCTTTCATTGGTCCTGGAGAGGCAGCTGCATCCCCCCCGCCCCCGCCTCCGGGACATAGGGTAAGATGTGAAGAAGCACCTCTCTGGGCTCGAACACTTTGTCAAGAGAGTGGGTGCAAAGACGTCAGCGCTGAAAAAGGTGAGGGTGCAGATCTGACGGGTATCCCACGCCCCAGAAAACACATGAAAACACAGTGGCCACTTAGACGTAGCCAAACCATATGCTAATAAGACTGTGAGTTTTTGACTTTATTATCGAGCTTATACTTTCCCCCACGGAATATATACCTTCTCAAATACTTGCAGGGGTGTCCAATCTTTTGACATCTCTGGACCACACTGGAAGAAGAAGAGTTGTCTTGGGCCACACATTAAATACATTGCAACATGTAATCACAAAAAATTGCCATCATGTTTTAAATAAGTTTATGATTCTGTGTTGGGCCGTGTGCACAGCCATACTGGGCTGCAGGTGGCCCGAGGGCCACAGGTGGGACACCCCTGCTACACATTGATTATAAACTAGATTACAAATAATATCTCAACTTCCCCCAAAAGGAAGAATTATATAGGCTCCGAACTCTGGCTACAATTAAAATTTTCTTATAATTATAAATGAAACACACACTCCCCCCACTCCGGTCCCCGACCCCGCGTAACTATTGGTCAAAGGCAAATTTAAATCTGGAAGAGCAGGTTTCTCGAACCATGAAAATGACATTAACATATCAAGGTTGTGAAATCATAAAACTGATAATTTATTAAAAGGGGAGCATGGGTCTGTCAAGGTTGAGAATTCCAGCATCAGGTCGATTCACAAGTGGGAAAAAGCGGCGCCCACACCCCCGTCCTCAGGCCAACTCGCTGTGCAATTCACCCAGTGGCCAGTAGAGGCCAGGAGCGGCCCAGGCACAGCAGGTTGGGGCGGCAGGGCACCAATACAAAAGAATTCCCTCGTCTGTGCTCTCTCTGGCTAGGGAGCTGAGAGTCAGTATCTCCAATTGGTGGGGAGTCATTCCAATCTGCCTAGCCCTTTCCCTCCGCTTCTCCCTTCCCCCACCCTCACCATTGGAGCCCAAGCCTCCAGCCAGCTTCTTTTGCCTGGATTGTTGAAAAGACTCCTAAAAGACTTCTAAATGGCATGTTTACTTTGTAACTAGCTGCCTTAAACAACTTTTATTAGTTCTGAGTTGATTGTCTGCAAATAATGATTTGTGAATTCATTCTCTCAGACAGGTGTTCTGCAAATAATAATTTGGAATCTCCCTTTGAAAAATTATACTTTTGATTTAATCACATTGGCCATCAGATCTTATACAATGTTAGGCAATAGTAATCTCAGGTTCGCTTGTCTTAGTTTTGGGGTTTTTTTCCCCAAGTAAAATCAGTACTTAGATATAGTTTATGATGTCAATAAAGTACTTGTTAAAATTACTGTTTGAAAATGATGAAAAAAGGAGACTGAGTTTTGTCAAATGCTCTTTCAGCATCCATAAAAAATGACCATTTGGCTTTTCTTACTTGATCAATTTAAGTGACAACAATTTGTTAATAGAACTTCTCATTTGAAAAATGCCTGCATTCCTTCAGTAAATCCTGGTCAGTCATGGAATAGGTGGTAGAGTAGTAATTCTCAAGGAAGGGCTTTTGCAATTGATACAAGCTGCTCCTGTTTTGAATTATGTCCCCAGACCGGTTGGCCCCCGCCCCAGCCCCCTTAAGTCCCCAGAGCTGCTGCTACAGATGGCAGTGCTGTAGCCCCTGGGTGTGTTGGTCAGAAAGGGCGAATGAGTGCTCAGCCCTGGAGACCGTGGCCCCGGCCCTGATACAACGCCCTCACCTGCTGGAGCTGAGGACCCCTTTTGGCACTAGAAGCAGACAGAGGCTCCTTCCCCAGGATCCCACGCCAATGACCTCACTCCACTGAGGAGACGGGCACGCAAGCCCAGGGAGGACATATGGAAAAGTGTGAGAAGGGCACCGTTTATTCCTTGGCACCTGCTCCACGCCAGGTGCTTTACACGCGTTACGTGACCTTCTCCTGAAATGCGTGAGGTACTTATCCCCGTTTTACAGATAAGAGGCCAAATAACTTACCCAGGGACACGATTACTCAGTGGCAGAGTTGTCCTTTAAAAACCAGGTGTAGTCCCAAAGCGTGTTTAAACTGGGCTTCTAATTTCTGAAGACTGGCCCTCAGGAGTGGGTCAACAGGGCAGAACCAGGAAAATGGTTACTACTCCCCGCTGAGCACGTGGGCTCTGCCACTCCCAGTCCGTGGCCTCGCCTGTTTCCAGCAGGCTCAGAGGTCCTGTGGCAGTGCCTCTCCCGCACTGCTGGGTCCTGTTCCTGAGGCATCCAAGCTAACATCTCACCTAAAGTGCCATTGGAAGAATCCAGCTCTTGGTTATCGGGAACGTGCATGCTGTATTGCATTTATTTCTGCCTAGTGGTCTGCAAATTCAAGGAAAATAAATATCTAACATTTACTGAGTATCAGATGCTGTTCTAAGAACTTTCCATGTATTTACAAATTTGTTATAACATCCTTAGGAGGTAGATACTATTATTCCCATTTTACTGATGAGAAGACTAAGGCACAAGAGAGGTTAAGTAATGCTCACATACTGCAGCAGAGCCAGGGTTAAGCCTAGACTCAGTCACTATGCCGTGCTAATGAAGTGAGGGCCGAGTGAGCCACAGTGACAACAGCTCACTTAGCTCTTGCTGGAGAGATGGTGAGGTTCCGCTCTGGTCTGGGTTCATGGACAAGGATCAAAATCAAGGACGTCTTGCCCAGGTGTTTGGTGGGACGTTCCTGTCTGCCCTGTAATAACCTTAGGACACCTGCTTTACCACCACCAAAAGAGGTTACAATGTGCACCTTTCTCAAGTTTTATTTTTTTCTTTTTAAGATTTTATTAATTTTTAGAGCGAGGGGAAGCAAGGGAGAAAGAGAGGGAGAGAAATGTCAATATGCGAGAGATACATGGATCGGTTGCCTCTCGCATGCCCCCAACTGGGGACCTGGCCCACAACCCAGGCATGTGCCCTTGACTGGGAACCGAACCAGGGACCTTCTGGTTCGCAGGCTGGCACTCAATCCACTGAGCAGCCAGGGCATCTTTCCCAAGTTCTGAAGGGAAGTGGCGTCTCATAATGCTGCCAGCCTAAGGAATTAGCCATCTGTGCCAGGGTGACCTCTCCACCAGGTTTTTTCTTTTAAATATCAAAAGAAAGTTGGGAATTTGGCATTCTGAGTTAGAATTCTGACTCAGAGCCAGATTCTTTACTGCTACTCATCAAAGTAGCTCTATTTCTTTATTCTCTGCACACTTCCTTCTACAATGGCAGCACTAAGGACGTACCAGCCAGGCATCTGAGAGGAGTTCCTGCCCAGGCGCACGCCCCCGACGCACGCCCCCACTCCCCACGCAGTGAGGAGACCCCAATACTCCATCAGGACTGGAGCCACACTCCACACCCGTGCAATCTGTACTGAAGTTTCTAGGGATGCTTACCCTTGGTCTTTCCCTGAATACAAACATAAACATGTTTTCAGAAACCTGGAAACCTTCACAGAAGCAAAAGGTTTAAAAAGAAAAAAAGTAGATTTTTATTCAAGATAAGCAAAGGATAAGAGTGATTCATCAAATGATACCATCCAAAGCCATTTCACAATTATTTTATCAAGAAACCCACTAGTAAAAGCCCAAAGAACTAGAAATAAGGTCTATATGCCACACTTCTACTTTTACAAAAATGACAAGAAAATAAGCCGCTCTCTTCAGAAGGCGTGGAGGGGCTCCCGGGGCAGCAGGTGTCCACCCTCCCATGAGGAGCTCATGGTGCTTCAGCAACCACGCAGCCGTGCCCGTGCAAACCGGCCGGACGTCCGCACTGCTCGCAGCTTTCCATAAACGCAGCCTTATAAAAACAGGAGGTTACGGGTACACGAGTTCTCACTAGTTTATTACAAAAGAAAAACAGTTCCCACAGGCAAAATTCCTAAATTCTTTTGCTGCTTTTTAAAACGATGAAAAAAAATTTATTGACTTTTAGAGAAAGAGAGGGAAGAACATCGACTTGTTTTTGAAGCTCCGCTTATTTATGGATTTGTTGGGTGATTCTTGCGTGTGCCCTGACAGGGGGCTGAACCTACCGCCTTGGGGCGTTGAGACGACACTAACCCACTGAGTGACCTGGCCAGGGCTGCCTTTTTTTTTTTTTTTAATTCTTCTGAGACTAAACAACCCTCACACCCCCACTCTGCTCAGCCCACACAACCCAACTCCTTGGCTCCTGGCTGCACGGGTCTGAGGTCCCAACAAGCCCGACCACGGCCAATGCCGCAGGACCACTCTCAAAAGTGGCTGAGCCCTGTTAGAAAAACTTACATAGCTGCTAATTTATTCTAAATAACTCGTGGGTGGATTACTTCTGCTCCTGAGATTAAACCACCCATATCTGATGCTCAGGCTTGGGTTTTCCTTTTACCGCTTGACTCCTGAAAAGTATGGTGGAACAGTCACTGATTTACTCAACCGAGGAGGGCACTTAGGACCCAAACGAGTCAAAGTAAATGGTCAGGGTATCTTGCAAGAAGCCCATGACAGCCCTTTTGGCTGCGTCGCCCCCAGGGGCCTGGACACTGCTCACGTGCTCCAGGGCCGTTCTGACCATCTGGTCTCTTTCCAGTGGGCTATGGGGGGCTCCGTTGTCATCGCCCTCTGCTCCCGATTTTAAAAACTGTAGAATATAGGACTGGACCATGTCTCCATTCAATTCCAAGCTTTCTTTGATGCACGGCAGGTCTGGGGCACTGGACAGGCTCAGGAGGTGAATCAGCGCCTGGCAGATTTGGGTCCGGAGGCTGGCACAGTACTTGAACTCCAGGAAGTCCATGGTGTCCTCGCTCTTCTGTAAGGCAGTGACCAGCGCGTTCCAGATCTGTGTGTACTGGCCGACAGGCCCATAGTGCTCTCTCCGGCCGGGCAGGGAGAGGGCGGCGGCAGATCTGATGCGCACTTTGAAGTTCTTGCATGATGTCACAACTGACGTCAGGGCATTGTAGGCCTGGGAGGTCCACGGGGCTATTCCTAGAAAGAATCCGGTCGTTAAAACGTATGAAGGCTTACAAATAAATACAGTGAGAGGGATGGGGCTGGTGGAAGGAAACATATAAATAAGAGCTCAAGTTACTCAGGTTATGTTTTAGTAAAAGGCAAAAGATTTATATGATCTGAAGCGAAACAAGGGCCAGGTTACGTTTTAATCCTCACAATAATCCTATAGCATCAGGGTGGTGAGTGACCGACTGTGGGATCCTAGGTAAGTGGCCAAGCCCTGACTTCCAAACCTCCTTCCTTCCATCGTGAGTCTGCTGCACACTCAGGGCCTCTGCTACCCAGATAAGGACTCTGGTAGTTTTGAAAGAGGCTTCCTCTCTGGGAGGGCACTGTCCTGAGTGGGTGAGGCTTGGTGGGAGGAGCCTGGACGGAACTGTAGCCCCACTGTCCTCTCAGCGGGCTGCTTCTGAGCGCCGCACAAGCTGTACAACTGTATGCCCAGACCTGTTCCTGCTGGAAAGAGTATTCTGTCTCCCAGATGAGCATCCAGACTCTGCTCTGGCCATAGCAGGTCACTCATTTTATCGCAAAATAAAAGAAAGTACTGGAGAACACAGAACTTAACTGAAGGCTCAGTTTTCTAATTCTCAGAAGATGAGGCCCAGGTTTCCCTCCTCTTTCCCTTCCTGTTTCCTGCCTTCCCATTCATCAGAGCCAACAATCCCACTGCCCTTTCCCATTTTGGGGGGTTCTCTCTCCTCCAGATGCGCAGCAGAGGAGAATGCAGCTTTCCCAACTCTCCCAGCCCTTCCAGCTCCTTCGCTGCCTCCAAAGACAGCCAAGTGACACCCTTCGAAAAGTCACCCTTGCCTCGTTCCTCAGAGGACAAAGCCCTAAGACCACTACTTCTCCACCAGCTCCTGGCTGCTTTGGTCTGCCTGGATGCACTGGGCAGTAACGGGGAGCAGAGCCAGGCTCCCCTAACTTGATGCATCCTCTGTTGGTCTGGAATGGGTCTTCCACTCCAGGAACACACCCTTATGTTTCAAATCCTGCCACAGAGACCAATATAGCAGGAAGACACTGGCAACCGAAGTGAATGGGAGTTGGAGGCTACGATCCGTACATCCGAGCAGCTGCTAACCACGGGCGATACATCGAGGTGCGTGGCACGTCATTACGCAGAGACAGACAGCCCCTCCTAGGAAGCACGCCACTTCAGTACCAAGGGCTCTCTATCCCCCAAGCCAGTTTCTTCCTTTATTTTTTCCTGCTTGTTAGAACAGTACCTGCTCGTCAATTAAAACTTAGAAAATGACAGCAGAAAATAACCCTACTCATCATCCCGTCCAGAGGCAGTCACTGTTAATAATGAGGGTGATTTCCTTCCAGTCTTTTTCTACCCATCTACTGAGATCACAGTGTAGAAACAAGGTCACTTCCTCATTTAGTTTGCTTAACATCAGAAATACTTTCCCAGATTATCAATAAAATTTTTGTAAGTGCAATTTTAAATGGCAACAAAATACCCCATTGAATATATATGCCATGATTTATCTCAGACTGTTCCCCTAAACTTGAATGCTCAGTACGTTTCCATCTTTTTCTAATAGTGTGATAAATAATATTGTGATGAACATCTTTAATAACAACGTAGACTGGTGAGTGCTGTCCAAGGAGGGAAACTCTGGACCCCAGAGAGCAGAGGAAAACCTTCTCACCCAGCGGAAGGGCAGGGTTTTTAAATGCGTTTCCCAGCGCGTAACAAGCGTTCCATCGGACCTTCATGGCAGCCTCGGTCAGGACGGCAGAAATTAGGGCCTGGATAGATTCCTCTATGATTTCAGCGAATCGGGGTTTTTCTATGTGAGACGGTTGTAGAAAATGAAGCAAATTTCCAAGGGCCCGGACTGCATTACTTTTTACCTAGAATAAAATGTTAAAGCATTAGAAATCTGTTTTGCCAAAGGCATGGTTCAGAAAGTCTAACTCAGCTTTAAAAAAACCCAGGAGGTCCTAGACGTCTTGAAGCAGAAAGCTAATGAAGAAGTGCAGCCTGTGAAGATGCACGTTTTCAAACCTCTGCAAGGTCGAGTCTGAGCCTGCAGAAAGGGGAGGTTCTACAGAGCTCCTTGCGCTGGTATTTTTAGTGTTCGACTGGACTTCAGAGATACCCATCCTCCTTGAGTTATGGAGATGGCAGGCGACGCCCAGGGGCAACCGGACATGGCTTGTTTGCGGCGCAGCTTGGAGGAGCGGCTGGTTTCATAACCCAGACCAATACTCTTCTGCCAGAGAAAAGCAGTTTTTTTCTTTGTAGCATACCAGAATCACCTGGGGAGCCTTCTTTTTAAAAACCAGTTCCCACACCCTAACCCCACAAACTCTGATTGAGTGAGTTGAAGGCAGGGCCCCCAGGTTCTCAGAGCCACTGCGCCAGATGAAGCCGGTACTGCGCGAGGTGCTTTAAGGTTAGGCACCTCAGCGTTTCATGAGGTATGTGTAACAATGCCCATGCTGAAATGAAGGAACTGACCTTCAGAGGAGTTAAATGATGCACCAAAGGGCACCTACCACCAAAGGGCAAGCCAGGATTTGAACTGTGTCTGCCCAACCGTAAAGCGCAGGGTAATGCTTTGTAAGCTTGTTAGTGTGATAGGGAATATTCAAAACCAGGGGCTGCTTGCTCATCTTTCTCACATGTCAATTCTACTTAAAGATTTTTTGGGAAAAACCCCAACTGATTAATATTAAAACAAACATGGACATATCAGGAGTATTACAAATGGCACTGATGTTTTTTATGAGATAGGAGGTAAGAAACAAACTGTACAAGTACGAATACGGATATGGATACACTTTATACGTTGTGTCCACTCCTACTCTCCGTTGAACAGAGATAAATCTGATGAATAAAACTCTAATATACTTAGCATCTACCTGACAAAGACTAGGTTTTGTTGTGGGTTTACCTTGTCTTTGTCCCTGGATGCTTCTATAGCTGATCGCAGCATCTTCAGGAGCAGGAGACCAGAGAACTCCTCCTGGAAACTGGGGTCTGGTGTATCCCTGTTCCACCAAGGCGGGCAAACACGTGAAAAGGTAATACCCATTGCAATGGATATACATACAAATATATTCGCTCAGTATAACTATGAAAACTTTAGGAAAACAGCTAAACAAATCGTTCAGCTTATACCAAAAACCTATAGTTTATACCGTTTGACCTAGTAGGTCCACATTTAGGAATATAACCAACAGAAACAACTCAAGTGGAGATTTCATGCACAAAAAGTGTTCACTGCACATAAAAGCCTAAAACAACATAGATGCCCAATAATAGGGAGATGATGAAATAATCATTGCATGGTGATGATTGTGGAACAGTAAATAATGACTTATGAGAAGCCAGTAGAATTCAGGAGAATGTTTACGTGTGTTACATGTTAGAGTTAAGCGGCAAAAAGCAGGACACTCGCATACGAGTGACCACAGTTGCCTCCGGGGATGGAAAGCAGGAGACTAAGTAAGAGAAAGGCTTTGCACTGAATTCCCCTTTGTGCTCTTAGGTATTTTCTACCCTGTGAGTATCTTACTCAAACACACGAATGGGATAGAGAAGAAGGGAGGCAACCATTACAAAGGTTTTGGATTTCCACTTTTGTGTTTCCTCATTTTTCTATCATGTGGATGTATTTCTTCTATCAGCATACTATGTTTATACATAAATATTAAGAACAGCTTACTAATCACATCACTTGAAGGAAGAGAAAACAAAACCAACCAGGAAGGCTGAGGACATAATATGGGGGTGTTACTGCCAATTCTTTCAGAGCAGGGACCTCAGCCTCAGAAGTCACCCTAGGGAAACGAGCTGGGTCACCTACATGTTGACAATCAGAGTGTCTGTCAGGTTGCCCAGGGACCAGGCTGCTTTGGCTCGGACGTTCAGAGACTTGTCTTGAAGCGACATCAATATTGCATTTGCTGTGTCCGCAACGAATATGACATCCTGTAAGATAAACAAAACAAAATGATGTAGTTACTTCAGAAATTCACACTGCTACCTGGGAAATTCTCAGTTTTTCAGACAAAGTGACAAGACTTTACCACAAATTTCTATTTGGAAATCAAAATTCATTCAGTCAGTCAATTTCCTGTTTTTATGTATTACAATCTGGACACTCATTAAAACCCCAGGGACAGGCCTCCCATGGTTCTGCTACGTGCCGCACACACCGGAGGAGCCTACAGACGTGCCCTTGTAAACGTCTCCTCCCCTGGCCTGTGGCACCTATCTGTGAAATCTGTGCTTGGACTGATTTCCACCTTGAGCAATGATGTTGACAGTGAATACATTGCTAAAACACATCCTAGTTAGGTACAGAGCTCTCAGTGAGATCGACGTCACAAGTAAGAGCGAAGGAGAAATTTACTTCCTTCTCAGTAAAAACTCCATCAACCTTCTAAACTAAACTATTACTATCGCATGGTAATGCCACATCTCATTTTTTCCATTATTCATTAGACAGACATTGGCACCTAGGGACACTCCCCAGGACCCTACGTGCCCAGTGTATGTTTAATGAATAATTGAAAAAAATTATTTTTTACTAATTAAAAATATTAATTCAAAATAAATACATAAGCCCTGACTGCCGTGGCTCAGTTGGTTGGGTGTCAGCCCACAAAGCAAAAAGTCGCCAGTTCAATTCCCGGTCAGTGCACCTGCTTGGGTTGTGGGTTCAGTCCCTGGTTGGGGCACGTACAGAGGCAACCGATCGATGTTTCTCTTTCACATCAATGTTCTCACCCTTTCTTTCTCCCTCCCTTCCCCTCTCTCTAAAAATAAATAAAATCTTAAAAAAATAATAAATGGACAATAGGCATTACCATAGTTTAGTAGCAATTAAGGAAATCAGATTACAAGCAATTTAATTTACTGTCCAACTCAAGAGCTCTATATCCACCAAAAAAAAAAAAAACCCCCAAAAAACAGGATGGGTAGGGACTAGGAGGAGGCACAAAGGAGCACGGCGGGCTCACTCGGACCTGTCTGAGGCAGGGAAAAAGCACGTAGACCCCAAGCGCCCGCGAGGCCGCAGCTTTCACCAAACGGTTCTTGCTGTCGTTCAGGCCGAGCAGCACCGTGATGCACAGGATCTGCCAGTCACTCTGCAGTGAGAGGGGGCGAGGGAAGGAAATGACTGTGAGTCGGCGTCTTTGACAAGTGACCATGACACATCTGTGTTTGAGTTCACGTGCAGCTCAGACCCTGAGGCTACCCGGACAGAAGACAAAGGTTCCCCTCAGACCCAGCTGCTACCGGGCGCCCCTTGGTGCGGGCACACACGGCGTCCATGGTCATTGACCTTCACAGCTGTGTGAGGGGGGCCGTTTTACTCTCCTCCTTCGGTAAGGCTGCCTTCACTATGAAAGCTGATTTGTTTAAGTAAAAACAGATGTAAATGTCACGGAAAACTGAAGGTAAGGGACAGTTTGGACGCCATATGTGTTGCTAAGTATTTTCATATACTTCACCATATACACCAGCTAAGTATTTTCATGTACTTCATGCTATTATGCACATTGTTCCCATTTTATAGGTGATAAAATACACTTTTAGAGAAGATAATCAAAAAGCCAGAAAGTGGGAGAGCTTGGATTTAAACCCAGGTCTTTCTAACGTCTGGGTTTGAATTCTTTCTGAAATCTCTCTGACTTCAAAGCCTCTACTGCCCCCGCTTCCCCCGCCGCCCTCCAAGCACGGGGAGGAGAGCTCCCCTGAGACCTCGAGATTTGCAGTTTTCCCACTGCCCTCACCCCGCACTCAAGTGGAATAAGCAGCCCCCTGAGAGATGGTGCTGAACACTAGCTCAGAACGAAAAGACTCAGGATCCCACGCGAGCTGTGAGGCTCAGAGACACCCGGGAAGGGGGAGACAGCACGTCGGGGTTACCGGCAGGTTCCGGAAGGCGTCGGGCAAGATGGAAGACAGGGCGTCACACGCGCTCGCCTGCAGAGTCGGGTGCTCCGAGTTCTGCAGGGCTCTGGGTAAAGGGCCGCTCAGCATCATGGTCCAGAACAGCACCACCTGCAACAGGACAGAGTGACGACTGCAGCCCGAGAGCACAGCGGGACCAGGCCGACCCTACGGCCGCCACGCGTGGCCGCAGCCATGAGCTTTTTCCCCTCCAGCGGCGGCTGCTGATAAATGCTCTCACGAGGTCTTCCACAGCGATGAAAGGGCTTTGGAAAACTACTGGGTCAATCCCCCCATTTTATTGATTAGGAAACCAGAGCCTGCTAGAGTTAAGTGACCGCAGAGATGATAACGAGAGGGAGGGTGAAGGTGATGCCAGTGACAAGCCACGGTGCCAGCTCACATTCTCTGGAGGGTTCATGGTGCGGACATTGTCCTGAGTCCTTCACATACACCAACTCATCTAACCCTCAGCACGACTAGACAAAGTATCGTTATCTCCTATTCGCACAAGGCAAGGGACGCACAAAGAGATGATGCATCTCGCTGGCGGGCAGCAGAGCTGGCCCGACCTCCAGGTCGCTGGTGCCCAGCTAGGGCTCCTTCAATCTGGTTCTTCACGGTCGCAGAGCTCAGGGCCCCAGACTGAGCTGGGGCTGAGTCCTTCAGCTGCGGCTTCCTCTCCGTGCAACCCTGGGCGAGTCATGAAACCCAAGCTTCGGTTCCTCATCAGTAAAACAGGGCAAAGACATCTCCTCGGCAGAGTCTGTGTGATAATCAAACATAATGCTGTGTGCGAAGTTCCCAGCGGCGGGCTTGCTGCGCAGTGGATTCTTAAATTGAGTGGTAGGCTCTGTCTTAAGCACTTTGAAGAATCATCTACTTCAAAGCCCCTCAAGGCGGACATCTGAAGGGCACCTCTCTAGTTTCCTGCCCAAGCTTTGTAAAAACCCTGGGATTTCAGTTTGCAAGTCTGTCTGGGGGTTTCAGTGTCTCACTTTCTGCCTCATGGGTAGAGTCCTGAGCATGGCCATGGACCCCCGTGCCAGCTCTGTCCTCCCCACAATCCTAGCTCCTGGAAAGCCGGCTGGGCCCTCCCCACCTGAACCGGAAGCACTTGGGCGCGGTGGCTGCCGACCTCCAAGGTGGCCCACATGGACACCCGCCTCCTAGAGCTTCAGAGGCGACCGCACTGACTGGGGCTGGCCTATGTAACCAGAAGGATGGTGTGGCAATGACACTGGGACACTTCTGAAGCTAGGCCATAAAACCCTGCGTCTCTCCATCTCTCTCTCTCTCAGATTCACTTGCTGTGGGGGAAGCCGGCTTCCACTTCAAAAAAATGCTCAAGCAGCCGCCTGGACAGGTCCGCTGGGGGAGGAAGCGAGGCCAGCTGCCAACAGCGAGTGCCGGCGTGGGAGGCATGGCAGGGGCCGCCTCGCGAGGAGGTCCTCTGAGCCTGTCAGGCTCTGCTGACTGGGGCCCCACGCCACCATCCTGACCGCCAGCTTCAGGACAGGGCCCGAGCCAGAGCCACGCGGCGGAGCTGCTCTCAATTCCTGACCCAGAGAGAATCCATGTATATTGTTTTAAGCTGCTAAATGATTAGAATAATCATTACTCAACAACAGATGATGCAGAAAGTGTATCCCATTTTTACAGATGAAATAATATTTGAGTGTGAACAGTTAAGAGTCTGCCCAAAGTTACTGATGAGCAAGGGGAAAAGTCTGGATTCAATCCCAGGTCTGTTGGACAGCAAAGCTCAACTCAGCTCCCTGCAAACGCTGACATTCTAATTTTCGGAGCAGACGAAGGGAGGGACCGGGGCTAGGCATTCTTAATTCACTGCAAGGATGATGGAAATTGTGAAGGAAAAAGAACAAGCAGGAGGAGGACGGCAGAGGCAGAAAGCTGTTGGTCGGTTTTGCTTCTGGCGCCAAGTAGAAGCCTTTTGTGGCGAGGTCACATGTCCCTCCCCCAAGGAAGCCTGGCACAGGGTGGGGGCGTCACACAGCCTTGGATCACGAGAGCTTAGCAGGAACCACGGGAGGGGGTGCGGCAGTGGGGGGGGTGAGTGGTTAACGTTCACTGGGTGCTGCTGTTTGTCAGTGACGCTACATTTCATTCAGCCTCCCAACGGCCTGTGAGGTAAGGATTTTCGTTCCTCTTGACAATGAAGAAACTATGCTCGCAAGCGTGGAGCATGAGGTGGGGCTCCCGAGACCCGCCCCCTGGCCTTCGGGTTCCAATCTGTGACTCTCGCCCCACCACCCTAGTCCGCCTCTTGGGCAGGCTGAGCAACCTGACTAGGTTTTATGCAAAAGAAATAATTAATTGGTGTTTGCATTGCTGGCTGTATGTTCCATATAATCCTACCACATACTGAACTGCAAATAACTGAAATGTGAATAAAACCTGCAAACTAGTATATCATTATCCAAGATAATAAACCATAATTTTTGACACTGAAAGAAACCATACTGTCGACTCCGCTTTATCACTCAAAATACATTCACTGAAGCACTAAGAAAAGAGACGCCCAGGAACTGACATTTACTCACCAAGGTGACTGGCACCCTCTGATCGGGTGCTAGGGCAGAGTCTGGCTTGTACTGCTGTATCACACCTGTCCCCAGCTCTTCCAGAAGCTGTGAAGATGGAGGAAATAGAGTATCAGAGTAGAGCATTGGAACTATGGAGGGGAGAGACTACTTCAGTTTGGGGATTCCCTCAAATCAAGGGAGAAAATAATTTCCAACTGATTTTCTTTCTTTTCTATATAACTTCCATGTCAAAGGGATTCTTTCCAGGAGCAAAATCACCAGCTATATGCAGTGCTGTTAATTTCTTACTAAATCAGTTCTTTGGGTTTATATGCAGAGCTGAAAATAGAGGAATGCATGACTTCCCCACCTGGAACTTCTTGAAGAAACCTCGGAACTGATGAACATATAATATAAAAGGTGGGAGGGGGTGGGGGAAAGCATGTGGTTTTTAATGAGAATTACCTTTGCTCCATGAAGCTGAATAGATGGATCTGCTTCCCCCATGCACTTGCAAATCACCTCTCCAAGCTCCATCAGGTAGACCTGAGCCACTGAAAAATAGCCCCTTGCCAGATGGGCCAATACCTGCAAAGAGCACAGAGCATTAACCTCATGACCTCAATGCAGGGCTGCAATATCTAGGAAAGTATTTCAGTATTTCAGAAATTTCTCACACTTAACAAAGAGCTGAAATATGATGTTGAATGAAATGAAGAACAAGCATAATCTGTAATTTTATGGCTAAAATCAATTAGCTATAATATAATTTTGTGGTGCCTTATAATTTATGAAATATGTTTCATTAAGATTATCAATAGTATCTCATTTAAGTTAGCCTGGGTACAATTTCTTGAGGTAGGTCTTAATTAAATATTTCAGCCAAAGAAACTAAGGCTCAAAAAATTAAAGGTTAAAGAGGTTAAAGGACACGTTTAATGTTAAGCAGATAATTAGTAGCAGACCCCAGGACCAAACCCATGTCTTAGATAATACTTGAGTACAGAAAAAGCAAATACTTTAATCTAGGGCTGACTTCTTCCTTTGAAGAAACAATTGTATTTTGTTGTCTCTAAGCAGAGAGAAGACCAAAGAAAAGTTTATAGAGAATTAAATTTTTATTTAAGTTGCAGGAATCAAAGATTAACTACACAATTTCTTTCAGAATTACTTGAGGTCTGTCCAGAAATAGCCCAGCCATTGTTAATATAAGGAGAACAGTTTGTGTGACATCAATGTAACCTGGGAGCTAAGGAGAGTGGACTGGAATGCACATGCGTGAACAATGATGACTTCACTGTACTAGTTAGTGGGGGTGGTAGACGCTGTAGAGTGAGCATGTGTACTGTGTGGCTGTTGCATTTAAAATGACTGAGCGAACAGAGCAATGCATCTGCATCAAATTTTGCATTAAGCTTGACCATTCATCTACAGAGAATATTTGGATCGTTCAGAAAGCTACAGCTCTGGGCAAATGGTGACTGGCAGCTTCATCATGACCATGTGCCCGCTTATGCATCACATCTCCTACAGAGTATTTTGGCAAAACATCAAATCACCCAGGTGACTCAGTCCCCAAGAGCCCAGATTTGGCACCCTGCCACTTCTGGCTTTTCCCAAAACTAAAATCACTTTTGAAAGGGAAGAGATTTCAGACCCTCAACAAGGGTCATGAAAATACGATGGCGCAGCTCATGGTGACTGGCAGAACTGTGTGAGGTCCCAAGGTGCCTACTCTGAAGGGGACTGAGGCATCACTGTCCTATGTACACAGTGTATCTTGTATCTTCTTCAAAAAATGTCTCTGCTGTTCATATTACATGGCTGGATACCTTCTGGACAGACCTCGTATAATCATCACACCCACCTGTCATGATAACTGAGGCGAGTAAACTGGCTTGCATGGAAAAGGAATGAACCTGCCATTTCACAACCAAAGCCCCCGCCATCACCAGAAGAAAACAGCAGCGACAAACAAGGCACTCGCACCCACAATACAATGCCCGCTGCACCACTGGCATGTGGCTCACTTTTACATTATTTTCACAGATTCACTCCTCACCAACACCCTGTGAAGGAAGAATGATTTCCTATATCAGAGATGAGGAAGTGAAGCCTGCTACCTGTAAGGCCTCCAGTCGCATGGGGGATGGCACATAGGCGCCGCCTGCCGCACAGCCAGCATCGACGCCTGCGCAGGAATCCTCCCTGGGCAGCACAACCGTGGAGATGCAGAGTCGGATGAGCCAGCAGGGCTCGGAAGGCCCCTTTGGTGAGCCAGCCGATGCTTCTTCCAGGAAAGGTCCCGAGGGGGCTTTCTTCCACCAGTCAGGGTGGCTGAGGTGAGGGGTTGCTGGATTGCTGTTGCTGAGTCCGGAAGAACAGGGCTGTTGCAGAAGCAGCTGCACTTCAGGTAAAGGTGCGTGAGTGGACACTATGGCTCCCAAGAGTGTGAGGCTTGACACACGAACGTTAACATCTGTCAAGGAACCAGTAAAAACCTGTCACCATGGGAAGAGCTGTTAGGGGGACCACAGTTATCCCTGCAGGCATTAAGAATCTGGATCCTGTTAAAATCTGAACCTAATTAAGACTCTAGATCTGTTTTCTAGTTTATAGGAACTTCATGGGACAGAAATATAAGTTAAACAACGTTATGAAGAAAGTATCAGGCAAACTGAGAATGTGAGACATTCTATAGGACAGCTGGCTTGGACTTTTCCAAAACTCAGTCTTGTGAAAGAAAAAAGGGTGCGGGGCTGTTCTAAATTTAAAAAGGCTAAAGTGACATAAAAATTAAATGCAATATGTGAAACTCGAATGAACATAGGTTTTAAAAAAGCCGTAAAAGACTTTCTGGGACACTGGGGAAATACGAATGCAGACAAGATATTAGACAATATTATGGAATTGATATAAATTTCTTAGGTGCAAAAATGGGTTTGTGTTTTTGAGGTCATCTTTATTCTTAGGACATGCGTGCTGAGGTAGTTAGGACAAAATATGCTCTAATTTACTTTCAAATGGTTCAAGGAAAAAAGTCTATATAATTTTAGGCACATACACAAAAATATACATATATACACATATATATATACAAAGATACTCAGACGTAGTGAGACAGAGAAAGCAAATATGACAAATATGAACAACTTAAGTTAAGTCTAAGTAGAGGTATACAGATGCTCAGTTTATTATTCTTTCAGATTTTCTGTGGGCTTGAACATTTTAATAATGAAAAGCTGATGGAGACACTTGAGAGGGACCCCTGAGACATGGCCCAGTCCCCTCAGTGAGCAGATGGAGAAAAGCTGGTGTAGGGACTCAGCGAGGAGCCCTGGGCTGTTTTGATCTTACTTCTGCCCCTAGACAACGGCTTCTACCGCCCCCACTGACTAGTACAGTGAAGGTGTCATTGTTCACACATGTGCATTCCAGTCCACTCTCCCTGGCTGCCAGATTATATCGATTTATGTTTCAGGGTCCCATTTTGCACATTGGTAAAGGGGTAAATTTGTCTTAGTTTCCACATCCTCATCTCAGTTAAGCCTCATGGAAGTCTTATGAGGCCGGCATGATTCCCCCGGTTAGGAGAGGAGAGGTCCATGACCAGAAGACGGCGGAAATTCCAGGACCCCTCCCTCAATGTCACAAGAAACACCCGCACCTCCACCAACTCCTGTAATTCTGAATCAAACACTCGACCTATCAGGATGTGGTGTGATCATAAAGCTTGCAAACAAAAGAAAAACAAATGTTTTAAAGGCAAGTGTTTACGGCACATATACAGGGATGTCCAAAAGTAGGTTTACAGTTGTTTGTATGGAAAAATAATACAGTAATTAATAAATAAATGTTTTGTATACTTACACCTATTAACCTACTTTCCCCCATCTCTGTATATTATATGTGGGAGTAAGTCAGGAAATACCAAGAAATAAGACTCTGGAGTTAGTGGGGATTTGAGGTTCTGAAATTTATCTGATTTTCAGAGGAAATAATGTTAAAGAAGTTAGGTTTTATATTCCATTTTTTCTTTCCAAAAAGATGATGTCTACCTGATTGACCACCCAGCCTCTGCTAGGACTAAAGGGCACAAACTATCATACACTAAAGGGGATCCCTTGCACTGGGCTCCATCTAAAAGGCAACTCTGATTACTGCACAAACTACCAAAGAGGCACTGAACTTTACAATGAATTTTCCAGCTCACTTCCGTCCAATGGGGCTTCAGGGTCAAAAAAAAAAAAAAAAAAAAAAAAGGTGAATTTCTAACAATATCTGATTATCCTGAAAATTTGAGGAGAACAAATAGAGATATTTTAGAGCCATACAAATGCTGTGAACATTTTTTAATTAATAATCTTGATTTGACTGATATAAAGAAGCAAATAGTTTTAAACTACTACCAACCTTTGTGGCGGATATAAGGCTTTATTTGGTTCCAGACTTTGGTCAGCAGGCTGAGTTTCAGACGGTTATAAGGTGAATTGGATACTAAATTTGCAAGGCACTGCAAAGCACAAGAATAGTTTGTCAATGGGCCTAGTTAAGCCATAACATAAAGACAAAATTCTACAGCATTTAATTTAAAATGAAAAGTTTTCACATTTATTTGAAAATCATTCTGCTTTTCTGCCTTTTTTTGTGGGGGGTGCGGGGAGGGCATTTGTTTTTTCATGGTACAACTTTAAAAACAAAGGAGTATTTTTTAGTAAATCTACTAAATCTTTTACGAGTAGGTACAAAAAGGTATCTTTAAATAAAATTACTATTTAGTTATATCCTTCAGTCAAGTTTACCTTTCAACAATGGAAACCATTATCCAAAATTGAAGTAGGCAGCTTGGCACACATACCTTGATGATCTGAGTAAGGGTCTGCGAGGATGACTCAGCCACCAGAGCTAACAAAAGACATCTGTGCAGCTCCCTGATGCTGGACGCGATCATGACAGAGAAAGGGGTAAAAGCCCTTCTGTGGTCACTGGTATCTTCAGCCACAGAAAGAAACTGCTTTGAGCCTTCCAAGATGGCAGACAGAACTTGCAGAGCACAGGCACGTGTCTGGAATTTCAGGATGAGTCACATTCGTTAAAAATCAGGAGTCGAATCCCCTTCTTCCTATACACGTTTTTAATTTTCAAAGGTTTTAGGACCTTTTGTTTTTTTTTAAGATTTTATTTATTCATTTTTAGAGAGAGGGAGAGGGAAGGAGAAAGAGGAGAGAAACATAAATGTGTGAGAGATAAATCGTTCGGTGGCCTCTCACACGCCCTGGCCTGCAGCCCAGGCATGTGCTCTCACTGGGAAGTGAACTGGTGACTTTTTGGTTCACAGGCCAGCACTCAGTACACTGAGCCACACCAGCCAGGACTAGGACCATTTTAATTAGAATAAAAGCAATGGGATTATCTATCAGGTCCTGAAAATAGCCGTGAACTAGGCCACTTGTACCCCACACTTAATTTAAAAATAAAAACCTTGAGTCATACAGGTTTTCTTACAGTGAGGAATAAGCCTAAGCTGCACCGCAGTACACAAACCTGGTCATGTACACAAACCTGGTCATGAGCATGAGAATAACTTAAAAATTAGAGGCTTCGTTTACTCAAGCATAAAACCAACTGAGGAGAACAGCCTATGAGGTAAGAAAAAATACCTATGTCTAGAGTGTTTCACATCCAAGTCCCTGAGGACATTTCTGGTTTACATTCTCTCTGGAAGCATCTTTATGGGTGATTGATGTTGATTAAATAGGGCATTAGGAACTGTGTGAATTCAGTTTGGCAGGCACCATTAGTGATCCAAATTTTTACATACATTCTTAGGTGCAGGAAATAACAATGCCTGCAGTGAGAGTATTTGATAATCAAAGAAAAAAACAAACCCACTGAATATCGCCTCATGGATGGAAGGGACATATGCCCTTGTCAGTGAACTGCTGTGTCTGTTAGGATAAGTGTCATTGCATTAATGTATCTTCTTTAGAAAGCTAGAGGGTTACTTTCAATTGATACTGTGATGATTTTGCAGCATTAAAAATCAGAAAAGAAAAAAAAAAAAGGAAATGAAATCCAATTTAACCAAAATGAAACATTAAGTGAAAAATGCAGGACTAGTAATATGGAATAATACTGTACCCTCCGTGGCCGGCTCACACAAAAATGCCAATTAAACACCTTCTGTCAGATTTCTTAAAAGCTGAGAATCAACATTGTAACTCCAGGATCTAATGTAAGTATTTACTCAATATGAAGTGTGTCTGAATTTGGTGTGAAAAGATTTTCCAGGAAACCTTCCACTCTGTTATCTCCAAGTAACCGAGGACTGCAGGCAGCTTGCAGACGTGTGCGCCTCGCCTCACTGCTGACAACAATCACTCTTACTTACGCCCTTGTAAACTTGCTACCTGCTAAAAACCTATTGCGTATAATCATGCCACTTGTCATCACATTGCACTGATTATTTTTAATCGTTATCTTGATCTTCTAAAAGTCCTCTTCAAGAATGTTGACTGGGCTCCCATTTCTCCAGGACCTCCTGAGGCTTTTGTACTGGACTCACGACGTCTCCCACGGGGAAGTCCCGTGTTTTGCTTACTCATCACATTTCTTGCATTCATTGAAATTAAACAGCAAGACCATATCTAAAAGGTACCCAAATCAAAGAGGTCCACTTTGAAATATGTAAAATTTCTCTTGGCACCCTAAGTCAAATGTCAATTTCTTTTTTAAGAGAGAGGGGAAGGGAGGGAGAGAAACATCGATGTGAGAAACAGCAGCTGGCTGTCTTCTGTACACACCCCGACTAGGGACTGAACCCATAACCCAGGCGTGTGCCTTTCAGTCTCCAGGACAACACCCAACCAACTGAGCCACACCAGGTGGGCTCAAATGTAAATATCTTAAAAATAGAGAGATATAAACATCGTGAAAATTATTTGTCTGCTTTGATCAGATATGACCTCATAACCTCTCTCACATGTCCCATACCCCCTTAGCTCTAGTGCAGGTGGTTTCGTTGGCTTGCTACTTGCTCTGTGGCACCATCTCCTTGGCTACCCATGGCTGCTACCCTCAGCTGGAGGGTCTTTGAAGATAAATTTAAAACATATGTGTGTATGTGTATAATTATAACCTTTATAGCAGTTTCCCTTTCAATTACTAGAATGGCTTCATTACTAATTTATTTGCCACCATTCACTTTCCTTTTTCCCCAGGTTCATTCACTGTTGATTCAGTCAATTTGAACATTTCTACTGGTTTAAATACTTAGGATACTGGGTATTTCAAATATCCTACAAGGCATTTTTTTTTAATGTGTGTATAACAGGGTTAGTTTATTTTTCCTTACACTATAAAAGCTTCTGAAGGATCATTTAGAAATTTTCTTATATGGGAATTTGATATTTAAGGAGATAATCACAGGTAGTTCCAGTGGATTGTGAATTGCTAGCCCTTCTCCTTATTTTAAAGGTAAAATCTTAAAAAATAGGAGAACGGAGTAATAACACTGGCTTAATTAAAGCTCTGCACTTTAAGAGGACAGGTAGTAACCTGACACCCCAATGCCACTCAGCGTGACTTTTAATGTTCATCATTATAAGGGGAATAGAAACAGCAGACTGTATTCCTTAGTTGGGTAAGAGGCTACCTCCTGGTGAGGGGTTAGTATATCCAAGAGAAAGCAAATATGTGATCAGCCACGCACAGCGACGCTGCTGCAGTTACCCATGACTGCCAAGTTACTTTTTCTTCTTTTTAAAAAAATTTAAGTTTTTCTCATTAAACTATGTAAATATTTATTACAGGTGATTTGAAAAATATTGAAAAGTTAAAAGAAATAAAGCCATTTTGGGGATCAGGGAGTTCTATATTCTGTACTTTCATAAAGCATCGCAAGCATTTTTCTAACCCTTACACGGCCTTCATAACCACTGCTCAGGTCAGAACCAGTATGACCTTCCACTGAGCATTTACGGGGTTTTTAATGTTTTCCATGTAATGTTTCACAAATACATGGATCGTGAGCAGCCTTTTCACAAAGGGGAGAAAGCAGAGCTGCTTCGGTGCAGCTCCAGGGCCTGTGGCAGCAGCTCGGGCTCAGGCTCCCGCAGGCCCTGGGGCAGCAGGCGACCTCCGCGGCACCCCTGGCCTGCGGTCACACAAGCCCATTTCCTGACCTCCTGCCACCTCGGGGTCTCAGTCAGGACCTGGGTGGGTGTTAGTGAGGGGTGCGTTGGGATAAGGCTGAGTAGGGCAGGGAAGACAACAAAGACTTTTAAATTTTTCTTCTCTCTGTAACATTAGCATCTACATCCGCCTACCTTTGGGGAAGGGTCTTTTAACGTGAGTGTCATCAAGGAAACAGACTGCGGGCTCCCGAGCTCAGGCGTGTCAGAAACGAAGGCCGACCAGTAGCCATAAAGCACTTTTTTTTCTATTGATTTTATAGTAGAAAGGAAACAAGCTAATGCTCCTTGGCGAACTTTGGCTTGGTAGGACCTTAAATAACAAGCGGAGAAAAAGAAGTCTTTTAATAGTTTTTTCAAAATAAAAACATGAAATACTATTTATTCCAGCTAACGCAAATCATACATTGAGAACTTCAACATTCTAAGTCCTAAAGATGTCAACATGATATTAAAAATTATTTTTCAAAATACAATTAAAACACGTTAAAGTAATTTGTTTCTATAACACGTTAATAAAGTCAACAATTAAAAAAATACAACTAAGTAGAGAATACGAGGGTGGCATTTTGATATTAGGAAACTAGTGTTAAATATGAGACACTGCAGAGTATCCATGCATCCGACAAACCTGCACTCAGCATCCACGTGTTTGTGCCAGATGTAAACTAACCCCCTGCCACCGACCAACTCATTTCTGGCAGAGACACAGTTGAAGAGATAACTATATATCACCCATTGTTATTGACGCTAATGCAGAGATAGGTAAAAGGGTCACACAGCAAAGGTACCTAAGCCAGAACGGGGAAGGGAGGCTCAGGAAAGGCTTCTCAGAGGATATGAGTGCTGGGTAGAGGTTAACAAGAAAAAAAAGCAATGAAAGAAAAAATATTACACATGCAAAGGCCGATCAAGAGAATGAGGAAAAAGCAGAGTAAAGCGAAGTCCCCCACTGAGGAGAATCGTCACGTTAAATCCCATGCAGCAGTGTCTTAAGCAAAGTTATAAAAACTTACATGCAAGGCATAAAAATATAACAACATACTACTACCTCGTTTTACTCTGCATGCCTCCCTCTGCATCCGAGTAGTCCGACTCACTGCTGCTGACCCTTCTCCAGGTGGCAGAGCCGAAGGGCGAGGAGGCTGGATCTTTCCCTGCCGCGCCGCTTCCGTCCAGCGGCGAGCTCTGGGCCCCCAGCGGGGAGGGGCACTGGGCGCTCCCACCGTGCAGGCTCACTCTGCCCGGGCCACTGACCGGGGTCGCTTCCCTTTCACCACTGGACTCTTCCTCCTCCTCCTCTCCTTGCTGGATTTTCTTTGGTTTTATTTTGGACTTTTTCTTTTTATTCTGATAGTAGGAGCAAATGAAAGCATATATACAATAGTGATTTCAAAACAGCTTCTAATTGATCATTGCTAGTTTCTCATTTACTGATTACCAAATATGTTCTCAACATGTAGTTGAAAAAAGAAGAGAGAAAAATGTGGCACTTAGCACCCTATGTGTCATGGTGCAGCACCCTACGCTAAGTGCTCACATGCACCCTATGGGACTGGAAGAAGCGAGGCATGAAAAGTGTGTGGCAGAGCAACACCTGGGGCTGGGTGTAAGTTCCACCTCTGTGACCCTGGGCAAACAAGTGAGCCTCTTTGCATTTGGCCTTCATCACCTCCAAGTGCAAGGCTAATACCACCAACCTTGCACCGTTGGGAAGGCAGTCAGCGCTCTCAAGTGGGGCTCTGCAGGAGAAAGGTCTACAGAAAATGGCCTGAGTGGCTATTTTCTCAGTTCTCCCCAAGAAGATACATAGTAACTCCAGGTTCATAGGAGAGCTGTTAATCCATTAGGTGCAATGCATGTTTTAGGGCATTGGGGCTTTGTAGGTGCAGATATTATGTAAAAGCCAGTTTCTTTTCTCCTACTTTCTTTCTGACACCCAAAAGGCTTCGGAATCTGTGCCCAACTCTGCACTGTCAAAGCCCCTGATGCTGGGGAAGAAGCGCCTCATTGCTCCGCCCTAGATGGTCCATGTGGCTCGACTCACATCCTCCCGCTTGCTGCCGCTGCGGTTTTTCTAAAATGCTGATGTTATAACCTCACTCTGCTACATGCGGTTCTTCAATGAATCTCCACCGCCTCTATGATAAAGTCCAAATTCCTTCGCATACTATATAGAAACCCCTTATGATTTGGCCTCTGCCCCGCCCTTCTGCACACGGGACAGTGCCTACTAGTTAATCCCGGGCTATACTCACTCTCATTGTCTGCATTTATGCGCCTTCGGCCCCTTCAGAATAAAAACTCTCCTTTTCTGTACTACCACACATTCTAGAGTCTCAGTTTAGCCACATCTTCTACGAAGCCTTCTGGCTCCTCAATGTGATTGGGTGCCCTGAATGTGCTCCCAAAGTCCTGTGAATACACTGATGAAAGGAATCACAATATTGCATTGTAGCTGTTTATCTGTCTTGGCCTTCTTCGCCTAAACTCCCAAAAACAGCCCATATCTGTAGTGCTTAGTATAATGTCTGGGCAATCACAGATGTACAGTAAATATTGAACAGGTAGGTGAGAATTAAGGTGGTTTAAGAATTAATTATAAGCATTTTTATCAGGCACTACATTTCTAGACATAATACCCTGGTCATGCATCTGTATATTCTAGGTTCTCCGGCAGAACACGAGGGAGGTGGCAGTGCCCCAGGAAGGCTGGGGAATGTGGGGAACGCAGGGAGTGTGAAGACGTGAGCTGACTGGTGGCTGGGTTCTAATGGTCTGGGGCGCGGCTGGCAAATTACAATCCAGAGGCCAAATCCAGCCCGGCACACAGCCTGCCGCTGTCCAGAAAGCTTCTCTGGAATCAGCCACGTCCATCCGTTAACACAGTGCCTATGGCTACTTTCGCACGAGGACATCAGAGCTGGAAGCTGCAACAGAGACCTGAAATACGTCCCAGCGAGCCTTTCACAGAAAATCCTTGCTGCTCTGGGATCTTGAGCGTTTGAGGGGTGACGATGCTTGGCTTTGAGTGTGAAGTGAATGCCCATTTTTACAGCTGTTACATTGACTGGTATCTCAGGAGAATAAGATGCTCTGAATGGCATTTTTAGCAGCGTGGTGCATTTAACCTTACGCTGTTAAAGCTCCTCAGTTGAATCCAATTCGAGGTGAGTCTTCGACACAGCAGTGATACACATCACAGAAAACGCAGAGCAAGCAATTAAAAACAATCGGCAACTTAAATCTAAACAGACAGAAACATACCGCTGCTGGTCGAGAGGGGCCGGGCTCGGACAGCGGCGGCCTGGCGGGGGGCCGCCCGTCGCACTGAGGGAGCGGGGTGGGGTACAGCACGGTGGGCATCTCTACGTGCACTCCCGGGAGTCCGTGAAACATGGATTTCTGAGGGCGACGGTGGAGAGAACACATACGGAAGCGCGAGTTATTCGTTCTGTTCTGGATCACAGAACGGGTTACCGCGTGGAAGCTTATTAAGGAAATAAAAATGGGACAGAAGGTAGCTGGGACTTAAAGAAGAGTTACTCTCACTCAGTGGGATATGGTTTGGTCAGATCAGGTTAGATTTGATTTTAATTTACTTATTATTTTTAGTTATTAAGTTTTATAATGTACCCAGTTTTATCTAATTATTTTATCTAAATATACTTCTTTAATTTAGCTTATCCACGTCCACACCTGGACATCTGTCTCCCTATCATGTAGGAGTAGGGGAGAGGGCACAGGGGAATAATTAAAACTTTAATCGTGATAAAGCTGAGCTATCACGCACGGCTTTAATCTGAGGCCAGCACAAAGCTTCTCACTATTTTCTGAAGACATCCAGGCCCCAGAGAGGCTGACCTGGTTCCCCCATCCGCCCGGCAGGCTCAGGAGCCGAAGGACGGGGGCCTGCGTACGCGGACCTCGACTGGCCTGCCTGCCTGTGGCGGGGCGAGAGTTGAGGAGAGGCCCTGGGGCCTCCCCCAAACACGAACAGGTTCAAGGTGACCTAAAATTAGATTCGCTGCAGATCATCCCTATTCTTTTCCCAACGTAAAGTACATAGATGAAATTTTATAATTCTGATCCATTTACTAAAACAAGGTTTACTGTTTTCAGTTCTTAATTTTAAGTATGTTTGAATGTGAACATTTTATTCTTCTCTCTTAAAATATAATACCCTTTCGCTAGCCTTGGATTAATAAAGTGGTCCTTATGCCTGGGGTTTAAATAGGAAAGACACCAACCACAGTGAGGATGTGGAATTTAAACAGACAGCACCTTACCTTCAGCACAGCCAGGAGAGCTCCAAGTTCATCAGTCTGTGTCAGCTTCATCTTCCCGCCGTTTAGAAGAGACTGTATACCTTTCAATGCATTTTGTAACAGCTGGGGGGGAGGAAAAGGAGACCAAGTTAAAAGGTAAATGAAATCTGGTTGTCCAGGGATCAACTTTCCAGCACCACTTAGGATGGAGGAGGAAAAGTCTTTAGTGACCTAAGTACTTTCCGGGAGAACAGAGCACTCTTATTGAATAAGAGTGGTCTTATTGTACATGTTCATGAACCAGCAATGTACAAATGGTGAGAAAAAAAAAAAAAAAAGGAGATGTTCAGTGGGAAGAACGCGATAGAAATGAAAACATGGCAGCAGATCAGCAATGGTGAGTCCAGAACGCAGCCACCTCAGCAGCTCTTCAAGGCAAAGCAATGAAACATGGGAGCAGGCTTCTGGGAGGGCAATTCCGACCAAGATTGACTTTTTGACTCAGTAACTCATTTCCGCAATTCTGTCCTTAAGAAACACTCCTCACGTGTAGAGGATATAAACTGCAGCCCTGTTTGAAATAGTAAAAACGCCGAAAAACCTTCCATTTCCATAAATTATGACAATGATTATATAAGAAGCTCACCCTCCGCTACATGTTAAAGTCAACAGTAAGAATGGTAAGCACTTTGCCACTCCCTTTAAATGCTTTATTTCATATCTTCCTCCTAGACCCACTGTCCCATTTCACAGATGAGGAACGTGGAGGCTCAAGAAGTTAAGTACTTTGCCCAATGTCTCCCAGCTAGAGTTAGGAAGCATGAGGTGCAGCAATAGGTATGGAAGAGGTCCAGGAGGTATTAAGCCTAACAAGTGGCAAAACAACATATTTAATATGATAAATTATTTATAGGAAAAAAATTTGGGAGCATGTGGAACATTTGTTCCTAAGTGTTCAGATCTGAGCAGAGGACTATAAGGAACTTCACCATCTAAGATCTGTAATTTTTGAAATGTGCCACTCAGAATTTAAAGTATATTAACAAATTGTCATATTTGCTTCAGATTTTTTAAAAAGTTTTTACTTATTTATTTTTAGAGAGAGAGGAATGGAGGAAGAAAGAAAGGGAGAGAAACATCAATCAGCTGCCTCTTGCACATCCCTAACCAGGGACCTGGCCTGTCAACCAAGGCACGTGCCCTGACCAGGAACTGAAGCAGCGACCTTTTGGTTTGCGGAACGACACCCTTCCCGCTGAGCCACACCAGTCAGGGCTGCATCAGGTTTTAAAAAAAAGAATTAAAATACTGCAGATACTGTGGGATCCACTCTTTTCCTTTTCATCTAAAAGACAGTCACTAGTCTGACACTGGATTGCTTTTATAGTCAGGAGGGGGAAAAAAAATAGTTTTCTTTAAAAACCTAGAACTGCAAAACAAAAACAGCAGCAAACAAAACAAACAAAAGCAATTTCTGGTCATTTAAACCTGAAAGATATGACTTCAGTCTTTTTATTTACTTTAAAAAATTACATTGTCATTCCATTTCAGTTGCCCCCACTTTTCCCCCTTTGCCCTCCCCGGCCCGGCCCCCCAACAGTCCGCCCCCACCCTGCTGTCCATGTCCATGGGTCATTCATGCATGTTCCCTGGCCAGTCCCTTCCCCTTCCCAGTCTTTTTAGGTTTCAACGTTTCGCGAAAGCCTGTAACAGAACTAATGCAGCAACCCACTTAAACTCTTTGGTAACAGCTTCTGATCCCCTGCTGCTTCTAGACACACCTGTTAACATTCACAAGACTAGTTAGTGGTTGTCCCACCTACCATGCAAAACGTGATGTCATCCATATCAGGTGATTTTGGAGACTGTAAGGTGGTCAAGAAAGCGTGGAAGCAGATGCTCTGGTAGGGCTCCTCCAGGTAGGGCTGTCCGGGGACACTGGCGCGCAGAGAGAGCGACTCAGACAGTCTGCTTTGAAGCAGGGCTTGCCAAGGAATACGAGTGAAAAGTAGCAATAACACGGACGGATGGAGGTGGACTACACGCTTGCATGAAACTGCACTGTGGAAGACCTGCATACTTTGGGTAACAACCGCTGTGGGACAGGCACAAGACTAAAGCGGACAGGAAGAAGGAAGGATGGATTCCACAGGGCAAAGTTACAGAAGTCTGCAGTGGAAGAAGTACGGGGACAAGTCTCCTTTAGTTCTGCAAAGGAAACAGGGCAGACAGGTCCTGCCACGTGAGAATCACATGGCCGCTGGCCCTGCGCTCCTCGTCACCGGACTAAAGCCTCACACGTCAGCTCCCGTTTGCACTGCTCATTCCCTACTGCGAGCACGTACTGTGGGCAGCTGGGGTGGCTTCCGTTTTCTTAGAAGAAATTGGCCTTGACAGACAAATCTCATCAAAGCTTCAGTTCATGGGACTATATCCTTCTAAAAGACTGAGTAACGTCAGAATGTATACCAGTAGAAACCAAACCTTGACATACTGCACATATATCACTTTTACTGTAATTAGCGATAAGGTCCTCATCTATTCTTCTTCCTTCATTTCTTTACAAACAATATGAACATTGAAAGTAAACAATAGGAGATATTATTAGCAAGGAACACGGCAAATGCAAAGTAGGTTATTTTTCTAAGTTGGCTCTGGCTTCAGACAGGCTGAACCACCTACGAAGGGCCCACGAGAGGCCGTATATTGTCCCAACGGAGACATGCAATCGGGCCCACACACCTGAGACACAGGTTCGCCATACAGTGTACTGCAGCTCTCCTAACTTCGGGGTCGGACTGAGTCCGGTCACTCAGCTTCACCAGGAGCCCACTCTTGCCTAGTAAGTCTGGGAGGAACTGAAACAAAATAACAGCCAATGCTGAGCAAATACTAGCTTCTGGAAAATATTACCCTTTAGGCAGATTTCATTTTTTTTAACTAAAGGGCAGTTAGGTACCAAAAGACTAGCCGCTAGGTACATCTTTCAGACGGGCACACAGAGATTCGCCGAAAAGACACCCGTGGCAGTGACCCCTCCCAGCCCGGGGAGGTGCTGAAGTGTTTAGTCCTGGCTGCAGGGCTCACGGGGCAGGATAACAGGTAACAATGGCTAATACTTACGAAGTGCCAAGCACTTTACAAGTACCGTCTCCCCTCGCCCTCAGGGGACCTGTTTTACACGTGAAGAGGGGAGCCTCGGCGCGGCTGAGCAAGGCTGCTCGGCACATCTGATGAACGCAGGACAGAGGCCTGAACAAAGGCCTGTCGGTTCAGAACCTGCGCCCCTAACCCTTCAAAACATAAACAAACAAAACCCCCAGAACACCGCTGAAGTTACCTTTTGACACTTGGAGCCATTGCAGTAAACCAGGGCGGCCAGGGCCTGGAGAACTTTCACGTGCGTCCAGGGGCTGCACTGCTGGAGAGCGGAAATCGTATACGCCAACAGGAAACCCAGGTTCTGCTCGTCAACAATCACCTGCAGAGCGAGGAACGATGCGTACGATCTAACTTCAGAACATTTTAAAACCCTTTGCAGACGTGTGTGCTCGTCGGAATTAAGCTGCGTAAGAGACGGAGACTGCGGCGTGCCCATCTTTCTTGCGTCAGAAAGACCAGCTCTGGAGGCCTTGAAAGCCTGATCAAGACAGGGCCTTCTCCTTGCCCAGGGGCCGCTCACTCTTCCCCTTTACTCCCTCCCCTCAAAGAAGAGCCTGGCAAACTCCTTCTAACTCTTCCCTGAACTGCCCAGACAGTGGCAGCTGTAGAGAGACAGATAGGTACAACTCAACAACTGAAATTTCTTAATTCAACTAAACTGCCTTATATGTAGTCAATGCTTAACAAATACATTGGGAAGAAAAGTCTACTCAACAGCTACTACATTTTCACCATAACGTGGTGAATACGACAGGAAGAGATGGCCTATCCCTGTCCTCAAGTCGTTTATACTCTTGTTGGGACAGAGTAGGCTAATCCAAATTTCAACTCCCAGACAACTGAGATCAACTGTCATCAAATGCTAGAAACTTGGTTAAGGGCTGTAGATGCCCGTTGGTAATTAGAAACCATTCCAACTGGCAGTGTGACAAAGATGATGTACCTGAGAACAGTACATACGCGGAAGCTATCGCATCACTTTGACACGTTCTAAGCTTGGAAACAGCCTTACTCCACTTATGAAGTCACGTGCAGCAGACACTGGGGGTAGCCTTCCTACATTCGCTGCCTTTTATTGTTGGCAGAGTAGATTCTGTCTGGGTGCTCACGTCTCCCACGTGGGACCTGAGGGTAAATCCTGATTAGTCTGAGAGACTGGCTCTCTGCCAGGGGCAATCTCGTCCCCATGGAGACATTTGGCAACATCTGTAGACATTTTTGATTGTCACGACCAGAGGCGTCCTACTGGCATCTCATGGGTAGAGGCCAAGGATTCTGCTGAACATCCCACAACGCGCGGAAGAGCCTCTCACAACAAAGAATTATCTAACCCAAAATATCAGTGGTGCCCAGGATGAGAAACCCTGATGTTAGGGCTGAGCTTCACGCTGCAGTCACGCGGGGAGCTTACACCCTCCGGGGGATCCGAACGCACAGCCACGGTTGAAACCGACTTAGGACACTCATGGTCATCCCATTCCCTGATCAAAACAGTGTACAGGGGTTCTCATACATCTCCCCAAACGAGAAACAGGGGAGGTCTGCAGGAGAGTCTGTGGGATAGATTTCCCCGTTCTTTAATAGAAAAAAACACAAAATAAAACAGTTCTTTGCTTCTGCTCAGTGTTACCCACTTTGCAGGGGACGCCTGGAACTGAAGCAGCCATCGCAGGACTGTGAGAGGCGCTGGCGGAGGACGACGCATACACTGCGGGTGGCAGCGGGGAAAGAGGCCAGTGGGCCTCTCGTTTGTCAGCGCCCTTACAGCGGCCTCCCCTGGGGCATCATTAAAGAAGATTGCTGAGCTACTCTGGGTCGGCTTTTCTGTTTCTCACACCCAACAGCGCCTTGAATTACACAATGCTGATGGGTAAGTTTTGTGTGAACTACATCCCTGTACTCATGTGCTATCTTACAATAACAGCCTTAATATTAATATTTTAAGTATTTCTAAAAAGATAATAGATTTACTTAGCAAATTGGAATAGATTCTGGAGAGAAGGGAGCTACAGTACATACCTTGACGTAAGTAACAGGGGCCTTTTTATCTAGCATCCCCTGGCTCCCAAGCCATGTCTCATGTTTTAGGAAGACCAAAAGGAGACCACAGAGTGGTAGTTTTGGGGAAGAGGAAAAAGTATCAGTAGGAAAGGGGCAGAGGAGTACTGCAATTTATTCTTAAATCTGTTGATCAAATACAACTTCCATGAAAATGTCTCAGACCTGGGAGCCTGAATGATACTGGTTTCTTTAGAACACTGCTAATGAAGAAACTTCTGGACTTGTGCAGAAGATTTGTTTTTTTGTCAGAGTTATAATTGTTTTGCTATCATTCTTAGTGGCCATTTCCTTTTTCTTTAGCTTCTCAAAAGACCGCTCTTTCATACCTATCACAGATGTAGTACTGGGTTGGCCAAAAAGATGGGTTTTTCCATAAGATGGGTCTAGTAGCGCTTAGTTGTCTTTAACTTCGTTCAAGACAACTTTGTGAGATTGTACTTTGACAGTTGTCATGTCAGCGTGTATTTTTAAAAAACATATCAAAATTGGTGATTTCGTATAACCATTTTAATTATTATTAAAGATGGAAGGAAATAAGCAACATTTTTCATATATTATACTGTATTATTTCAAGAAAGATAAAAATGCAACTGAAATGCAAAAACAGATTTGTGCAGTGTATGGAGAGAGTGCTGTGACTGATTGAATGTGTCCAAAGTGGTTTGCAAAGTGTCATGCTACAGATTTCTTGCAGGACGATGCTCCATGGCCATATGCTCCACGGCCAGACAAATCAGTCAAAGGTGACAACGATCAAATCAAGACGTTAATTGAGAATAATTAATGTTATACCATGCAGGAGATAGTGGACATACTCAAAATATCCAAATCAGTACAGTTACTGATGAAAATGAAGAATGTATCTTTTATTTTACGGAAAAAACTAAACAGACTTTTTGGACAACCCAATGTTTCAAAGGTACTTAGTTATTCTCAAAGTTCCTAACCTGAATTCTAGAGTTTCATAAATGGTTACCTGTAACGTGTTAAGTAAATGGTGGATAAGCTGAGACACTTTGCTGACGAGATGATTCTGATTCAGAGGCACCAGTTGACAAGCTTGGACAAGCAGAGGGTTGACATCCTACGAAACACAAGAGGACAATGGAAAAGTGACATACCTATTAGTGAAGACCCTCCCTGCCCCCCACCACAAGAGAGGTAAATAGGAAAATAAAAGTGAATGTCAACACTTAAAAGTGGGGCAAGATGAAATTTGAGGCAGAAAGTAGAAAATGAGAGCACAAAAACAGGATGTGCTAAAAAAGGAGAAAAATCAATATGGATTTTGTCAGGCCAAAGACTCCAGAGTCTCTATACAGGTAGAAGCAGTATAATTAAACAAGCACAGCAAGGCTTCCATAGTATAAAAGCAAACACAGAAGTTAAAAGTACCAAAAAGTAGTAAACCAGATTCTCAGTGCCACTGGGAAAATCAGAAATGATGCTCGCATGAATTTAATGTAAAATTAGAGACTTCTAAAAACAGCTGCGCTGTTCGTTCATCCATTAATGTTCACTGAATAAAAAGGCTCCCAGCACCTGCCCTGTGCCAGGCAGTGAGCGAGGTCTTTGTGCTCCAGAGGTAAACAAACATATTTCTGAACCCCCAAAAGTTCACAGTGTAATGAGTGAGACAAAATACTCACAAATACTTAATGGGAACCAAGTGCTAACGGAATTAAGTCCAGACTCTGGGGAAACAGTAATTAGGGAGGTCTTGTGGAAGTGATTTTTAAGCAGAATCTGGAATGATCTGAAGGATGAGTCAAAATCTACAGACAGACAAGGCACTGAAAGACACTGCAAGCAAAGGGAGTGGAATGTGCCCTGGCCAAAGGTCAGGGGGGCTCAGTTGGTAGGAGTGTCGTCCCATAACCGAAAGGTTGAGGGTTTGATTCCTAGTCAGGGCACATGCCCAGGTTGCAGATTCAATCCCTAATTTGGTCATGTACAGGAGGCAACAACTTGGTGCTTCTTTCTCACATGAATGTTGCTCTCTTTCCCTTCCTCTTTTTCTAAATGAGCAATGGGAACAAATGTCCTTGGGTGAGGATAAAAAAAGGATTTTAAAAAAAGGAACAAAGTGCAAAGACTTGGAATACTGGTGGAGTGAAACACCAGTAGGTGCCTGAGAAACACTAAGTTGTTCAGGACTGACACAGGGCACAAAAGGGGGAGGTGCAGAACAGGAAACTGGATATTTTGGTGCAAAAATATCAAATTACACAAATAAAAAGTGCCCAACTACTTCTTAATTCCACTTCATTCCTAGTGACACACACTATTACTCTGTTGTGAACTCTTTGTATCTATAAACACACATGCATTTTAAATCTCCCATTCTATACTGGTCTTGTCCTGTATGAACCGTTCTGTAACTTGCTTTGGCCACTTACCAATATGTACTGAAGATCTTCCCAAATCAAAGTTTTACTATTGTAATCAGATTTCTTCCCCACTAAAGAAAAGATCACTCTGGCAGCAGAGCAAAGAATGGTTTGCAGAAGCGTTGGCCTGGAGGCAGGCAGTGCATTAGAGGAGACCAGTAAACAGTCCAAGAAAGAGTCACCTAGCCTGAGCGCCTAAGGGGTTGGCAATGGGAATACAGAGATGGACTGAGATAGATTTATGAGACAGACTGTAAAGAATCCGGATTGGACAGGATCTAGAGGGGAGGAAAGAGGAAGAAACAGTTTGTGCCTGTGTGACTTGGCAGACTGCTTGTGCCTGGGTGTGTGTCGGGGGACTGGACCAGTTGGGAGATAACACACTCATTCATTTGTAGGAACTGTCAAATTGGAGGTGGCTGTCAACACCAGCGGCAGTGCTATGATGGGGTCAAGAGTTCAGGGGATTTGGAAAGTAGTGTCCAAAACCTGATGTGCGAGAGTATTACTCCAAGTACTTAAGGCAGAGAGGGCAGGGCCTAGCGTGGAGGAACAGAAAAAGGCAGGGACTCTGGGACAGAGTTAGGTTCCAATTCTAGCCCTGCCTTTGCCACCAACAGGACATTGGGTCTTTATGAGCCTCTGCGTTTTTATCAGTAAAATAGACCTAGTTATACCCACACTCTGAAGTTCCTGGAGCTTTGCATGGGAAAACACAATATGTGATCCGTGTACCATGTACTCAATAAATTGTAGCAATGAATTTCATGTACACAATATTCGGGATGCAGGGAGTGGGGTGGGAAAGGGGGGCGCAGGGAGGAACCAGAGATGACACATGAGTTGGTATCAGAGCAGGAGACAGCAAGTTGGGTTTCGGAAGATGCAAGTTTGTGAAGCACTTCAGAGTCTTCCAGATAAAGAGAATGTGTCCCGGTCGGAAGGTGCAAACCAGCCCGGAATTAAGGAATTCGGAGTTGGGGTGCGAAAAGCCCAGAGGGGCAGGCGGAGCTACCAAGTAGGGTCCCTGAGGGGTGGGGCCGGGGCCGGGGCCGGCGGATGCTCCTGGAGTCCCCTCCGCCGGACACCCCGCCTACCTCCGGGGCCACGCCGCCGCCCTCGCTGTAGTTCTCCGAGATGAGCTGGTCTAAGAGCAGGTGGATCTCGGTGCGGGAGGAGCTGCTGTCGTCCGGGCGCAGGGCGCAGAGCCTGGCCGACAGGCGGCGGAACCCGGCGCCCTGCTCTCGGGGAAGCTCCCGCGGCGCCTCCCGCGGCGACCCGCCCAGCACGGAGCTGGCGACTTGCACCGTCGCCATCTTTCCTACGTTGAACAACGGGGGAAATACTTCCGGGACATCCCGGACTCCACACTCCAGTTCCGGAAACAGTTTATTTGGACCAGGACCCAATGCGACTGGGTTCCAAGATTTTGGGGAGCGGCTCCTGAGACTGGTGCCTGGCAAATACCCTTTAGGAATTAGCTTGGAGGCCGTTTCGTCGCCGTCCTCTCCGTTGAGTCCTGCCTGAAAGGCGGAGACTCTGTTTGTCCTCCCAGAAAGTTTGGTCCTGAGCAGGGCCGACATTCCTGTTTAGTACCAGCGTTTCAGATTTGGGCTGTAGTTGGAGAGGCGCCGCCGTGGATGGCAGTGGCAGAAACTGATGGTTGTATTACATTCCTGTACTTAGATAATTTCACAGCCCCTGTTTTTTTCCCCACGCACAAAACCGCTCTGAATAAAGGTTACCTGCCCCTGTGTTCCTTGCAGCAGGCTGTGAATCCATCGTTTTGTGGATCTTGAGAGACCTCACCACACAAGAGGAGTAATTTGGGAGTTCACACAACCACGTAAAAATATAACCTATTTAAGGGTGACCTGGTTGAGGTTGGACACCCTCAAGATTTCCTGAAATCTTAAAAGCAAAATACTGGAAAAGAAAATTGCCATTTAAAAATCTGTGAACAGTTTTTAGTTACCCAAGAAGTGAAGCCTTGACATTTAGGTTTGGGCAGGCTGAGAAAACCTTTGAGTTGTGTAAATATAAAGCAAATTCTCACCGTGGCTCTTAGGGAAAACCTTGAAGTCACCTGAATGTACACGTTTTATCCCGAGAATAAAGTACTTCTGTTCAGCAATGAAAATTGGGCATATGCTTTAGAAGAGCTAATTCTCGGAGGACGTTGGGCTTCTTTGGGGAGAAATAGTTGTTTTTTGTCTGACTTCAGATTTCATTATGCTTGTATATTGTTTATTTTGGGGATGTGTGCATATGCAATGTATGTATATATATATTTTTTATATTTAAGCATTTGCTCAGAGAACATCAGGAGCTGAGACCTAGTCACTGAGGTTTTAGTCTGACTTCTCCTAAAGCAGAAACGCAGATGAGGTTAGCGTGAGTGATTTATTCAGGCATGAACATGGAAGAAAGGAGAATCAATACAAATATGTGCTATTAAGTTGGCTACTGTAGGAGGTGACTGCTCAGTCCTTAGGACTTTCCGAGACTTTTCGAATGCTCCCAGAATCCCCCTCATGAGGAATGGAAAGTGAAACCCACATATCTGTAAGCCTTTGACCTCTGTTGCCAAGTGTTGCCACACCAAGCATAAATTCTTCCATGCTTCTGGGTTGAGATGCATTGGTATGTGATGGTTCCTGAACAAGTCTCTTATTTATAAAAACTATGTATCGTCAAGGAAGTCCTGAGGCAAAAGTGAGTGGTGTGGAGTACTAGGCTACAAGTTTAAGGCAAGGCTGGACAAATTTTCCTGTGCTAAGCTGGTAGATGCCTGAGATAAACTGGTTGCTGTAGCAATTATTACAATAGGAGTGTAAAGCGAAGAGTGTTTGAAAGAGTGCATGCAAGATGTCCAATCCACGGGGCTAGAAGGATGTAAGGCCTAGTTATCGCACAGTGGAGGTGGCATGAAAGAGACAGTGGAAAAGATTTGGGTTTGGTGTAGCTCATCTTAGGTTGCATTGGATTATAGTTAAGACCCTAACACTTACCTGCTCTATGACTTTGAACAAATAACTTAATTTCTCCAAACCTTAGTGTCCTTATATGAAAAATGGTAATGATACTAAACATAGTTACAAGGTTCTTGTAAGGTTAAATTGGATGATGCTTGTGAAGAATATAACACAGTCTTTGTTATACAGCAAGTGCTCAGCAAATGCCATCTGTCCCCCACTTTCCCCTTCTCCCTCTCATCACCCCTGCCCAAATAACTCAAGTAGGGTGGGTACTTTTAACAATGCTGATTTATTAAAAGAAACAGATTTTTTTCCCTTCCCCACCACATCCCTTGTAATTTCCACCCACAGATTTCCATGTTCATCTGTTTTCTTGGGCAAGGAGCTCCAAACAGCCACATCTTTGAAGGTAGGAGCTCCAGGAAGGGGTGAGAAATTAATTGAAAAGGATGACCCTTAAGAAAAGTCTTCATCTGAAAAATGGACAAAAATTATGCATGAGACCTGCTGTTAGGGGGACCCAATGCACTTAATACAATTGAGAGGTGACAGTTCCAGTTGTGGAAATCAATAAGCACCTGCAAAGAGCCAACAAGGCCAAAAAGCATCCCAAGGATCGAGGGTGGATGGGACCAATAATATATTCTGAACACAAATGGGTTATTTTTAAAGTATATGTTGATTCTGTTATATTTAATACATCTTAATTTATAATCAAAACCGAATCACCGTAGCTTTTATGATTTTTTTCCATGTAATTGCTACTGAAAATAAAGAAACAATCATGTGAGGACCCTGAAATATTTTTACAGGGAAGGGCTTTCATAGGTAAATAAAGCAATGTGCATTAAAGGCTTAAAATGATCATATTCTTTGGTCATTAATTACACTTCTTAGAATTTATCACAACAAAAATTAAGGGCACACACACCAATTTAATATTCACTACAGCCATATTAATACTATAAAAATGAGAACTACATAAAATTTGTATTAACTGAAGTTGCTAAGTATATGAACATGTATGATGGATTTCCATAAAGCTATTAAAATTGATGGTATAGAAGCATCAGTACTGATATAAAAATTCACTACCTATTTCTAAGTGAAATAAGAAATCACACATTATCATATTTTTATACAAATATTTCATATTTGTGTGTGTTCAAAGCATTCCCCAAAGTGTTAAGCGGGCATCATTTTGGGATTATGGGTGACTTTTATCTGCTTTTTGATCAAGTAGCCTGATTTCTCTCCAGGGTATACTGGATAACTAAATTATTTTAAGGATTTGGAAACCACTATCCTGTGATAGATGCTTCTTTTAGGGGGAAGGGTGGGTGAAGAGGGAGAGTCCACAGAGAGCCAGACTTCTGTCCCATTCACTTCTGGAAAGTGCCATCGGGGCCAAGTGTAGACCCTGCCTGGCGTGGTCGAGGTTGGAGGCAGCAGGAAAGGGCCTGCCGTTTTTACCTGTGCTCACTTTGTGGCACAGATGTGGCCACACCCATTGCTGACGCAGCGCTCGCCCATGTCGCAGTCCCAGTCGCCTCTGCAGAGTTCAACGCAGGCGCCTGCAGCAGAACAGACCCGCTGGATGCCACCATGCTTTTGCCATGGGGGCCAGAGAGGACAGCCCTTGTTTAAGGAGCCAGTTCCCCCTTTTTTCTTTCAGTTCAATACACAATGTCATTGAAATGATACCTTGCAGAATAGTATTCATTAACATCTTATATATTTTGGTTAAAAACAATCCATTCACAGAATCCCAATAAGGTAAGACCTACTTTAAAGATGTGTGAGGAGGGCACCTGGTGGGATGTCCGCAATGCGTTGGGTTGGCCAAAAAGCCTGTTTAGTTTTTTTCTGTAAAGTAAGACACATTTTTCATTTTCACCAATAACTTGATTGATTTGGACATTTTGAGTATGTCAGCTGTCTCCCACTATTGGCTCCTAGAGGGCAGGGGCCGGGGCGCTGCTAAACATCTGCCAGTGCATAAGACAGCCCCACAGCAGAGGGGTAGTTATTTGGCCAAAATGTCAGCAGTACCAAGCCACTTTTGACACCTTCCACCGGTCACAGCACCTTCTCCATACACTGCACAAATCTTTTTTTTTTTTTTGCATTCCAGTTGTGTTTTTACCTTTCTTGAAATAATAAAGCATAATATGCTGAAAATGCTGTGTATTTTTTCCATCTTCAATATTAAAATGGCTGCACAAAAATCCACCAATTTTGATACATTTTTTAAAAAGTGAATACTGATATGACAACTGTCACCACACAATCTAACAAAATTGTTTTGAAGGAAGTTAAAGACAACTAAGCACAACTAGAGCTGTCATACAAAAAAAAAATCTTTTTTTGGCCAACCCAAGTACTTGCAGACCTCAGGGGAAATTAGCACCGTCCATCCACGGTGCTATTAGCAGTTGTTGATTTATGGTGAGTGGGTTAAAGCCTTCTTGTCTCCACTCACTGCAGCTTGGTTATTCATCGTATCTGTTCGTTCCTTACTTTGTATAAAGCAGAGAGGTAAGTTACTCAGGAGATACAAAGATGTAAGGTAGGGTCATTACCTTGAAGCGCCTTAGGGTTTAACAATGGAAGTAAGACTTATGTTTAAAGCACTGAAAACAAAGCCGTTTGTGACAACTGTCCTTAGGTATATCCAAAGGACTAAAGGGGCTCTGAAGACAAAAGACATCCCTTCCAAGGTGGGTCTTGAAGTACAGGACTTTTAAAAAGGCAGAATCGAGGCGGGCAGCAGAGTGTTGTGAGAAGAGAAAGGAATGACTGGTGAAAGGTCACAAAGGGAAAATGTGACAGGGCCTGGACCTGGGGACAGGCCATAGGGTGGCTGGGGCACAAAATTCAAGGAGGCACTGGCACAACCCGGAGAATGAGCAGCTCCTTCACTTTTGTCTCCTGGGAACCTCACCTGCCTCACCCCTCACCTTGAAACCCAGGGAATACGGGAGGACCTGTAAATGGAAGGCTGGATAAGCATTAGGAAATATTTGGGAGTTAAGCAGGAAAAGCAGGTGGGTGGGGGAGTTACAGAGAAGGATCTTGAGCATTGGAGGAGTTTGGATTTCGTTTGGCAGGCCAAGAGAGGGATACAATTACCATTTACCTAGGAAGGTTATTCTGGTGTCAGCGCACAGAATGAACCCAGATTCAAAAAACAATTAAACTTCAGGAGGAAGAGGGGGCAGGGAGAGCCGCTGAGAAGCTGCTGCACTGGCTCAAGCATGGGGTGCAATCAGGGCTGGAAATACCCTGGCGCAATGGGTGGTGGAAAGGAAGGAACGAATGAAAGAGGCAATTGCAAAGAAGGGACCGGTATTTGGCAACCAGCTGAATGTAACAGGAGGAGAGCAGAGAAGGGAGAGGGGTTAAGTGATGAATCCAATGTCCTCAGGGAGAAGGAAGAGATACAGTGAAAATAAGCCAGGAGAGAAGAAAGTCCGAGGGTGGACGGCAGGGCAAAAACTGTCAGGGGCTGCAGGGGTTAAAGACGTTGGCCACGGAGGAGAGTCAGGGGTTTTGTCAACAGGACCCGGGAGAGGAGTTGGGCAGAAAAGGGAGACTCCAGTCCGTCTTCAAGGGGTTAAGGGATAAAGTGCGGGGAAGTGAGGGCAGAGAATTAAGATCACTTTGAAAATGTCAATGGTAAAAGGAAAAGATGAGAGCGAGGTGATTACTGTTTAACATAATTAAGAAGATACTTTCTCCGGACAATGCAACGTATTTGAAGAAAATAGTAGAAAGAGAGATGCTGGGGGCATGGAGAATGGCTGATGAGGGGACAGAGGAGGGGTGGAAGGGAGTCCGGATGGAGGGGTGACCAGGGAAAGGAGGGGGGGAAGTGGAGGCAGAAAGAGGGATCCCGCAGCCAGGTGGTCCCTGCCGGGACTCCCTGACTAGAATATTTATCCTCTTGTTTCTTCCCCTCCTCCTCCTGCAAATACTGAGCTTCGATGTCCTACTTTCTGGCTCCGCAGTTTGAGAAGAATGAGGCTGCCTTCCACCTGGACTCACCCAAGAGATCCACTGGTAACACTGCAGCCCGGAGCTCCTGCACCTCCAGGCTGAGGGTCATGGCGACCACAAGGAGGAGGAAGCCTGCCAGCTTCATGGTGCGCTTGGAAGTCTTCCGTAAAAATGCAGCCGCAGGGCTGAAAACAGCTGAAATTTATGTCCTCCCGCCCACTGAGCTGAAATGCAAGGCCAGGGGTGGGACTCGGCCCAGCCCTGCCCAGAGGCTGATGTTCCTTCAGAACACACGCCACGTGTACTCTGGGTTATGCCACGTTGTTGCCTAAGCAAGTCTCTGAGCCAGCGGAACACCGTCCTCTGATTGACACATAAAACTCCTAAACCAGGAAAGACAGGAGTAACTGAGAAAGGGGGTGGCGGAGGCACTGACTTTTATGAGGTACTTTTATTCGCACATTCATTTTTCAACACAATTCTCACATGTGTTCTCTGGGTCTGGCATAAGGGATATGTCTGTGGAGAAGTCGCAGCCTCGGAACGGGGTGCTAGGTCTGGAGGTGCGGTCCGTTCTCCTGCCTCTCCGCTCCCTGCTCCAAGCCTAGCGCCTCTGGTGTGGGTGGCAGGGAGACGCTGTGGGGGAGCCAGCAGGGGTGCTCCTAGGTCACCTGCAGGTGGTAAGGAGGTGACCTGAGTCTCCTTCTGGCTGGGCCTTGAGGCAGGATAGTAAGAAGCTAGGAAAGGTCCTGGGCAAATGGAATGGGGAGACTGAGACAAGAAAATTAAAGAAGGCCAAACAATTGGAACAACTTATGCCCAGCTGGTGAATTGCAAGACCTTGTCTTCCCCAACCAAGGACACTTGAGAGCAAATGGTTTATATTTCCCCCTATCCCGAGAACACAAAGACCCCTCAAAGTAAAGAACAGAGACCTAATTAGTGCCATTTGTGCTAAACCCAAAGACAGATGAAATCACAGGAACAAATAATGAAAACCCCGCTAAAGCCTGACAGACGCAAGATAAAGGTAAAACAGTGAAGCAGACCAGAGAATCATCCCAAACCACCCACCATGTGCTCATTCTGATGCATCGGCACATTAAAAACACACCTGGAAAGCTAATGAATGTTCAGCTGAAACCCTCCCTTAGATTCTGACCAGAAGAAGAGAGATAAAAACCCTCAAGACAAAGACCAAGTGTGGCTCCTTCTAGAACACACTCACGTATGTCCCTTCTCGGGTATCAACTTTTTACTTCCTTCTAAATCCTAAGGGTCCCCATGAGATTTGCAAGCAGGGGAGCAACATGGGCCATGGCAGCTCGTCCCGGGAGACATCCTGTCTCCAAGCCCCCCCTTTTCTCTGATGGCCCAGCGAGTGGGCAGCAGCTCCACCATGGCTCACTCCTTTCCTACAGCGTTTCTCGGGAGCTAAAGCAGAGCAGCGCCTAGGCTCTCCCCATTACTTCTTCTATCCTAAGTCCTCCCTCTGTTTCATTGTCCCCAGCTTTAATCAATATATGCTTACAATCACCGGGACTCACCCTGGCCAGTGTGGCTCCGTTGGTTGGGCATCAACCCACAAAGCGAGAGGTCACCGGTTCAATTCCTGGTCAGGCCCGGTTGGGGCGCGTGCAAGAGGCGACCAATCGATGTTCTTCTCACACACTGATGTTTCTCTCCGTCTTTTTTCTCCCTCCTGTCCCGGCTCTCTAAAAATAAATAAATAAATGAATGAATAAATGAACAAACAAACAAATAAATAAATAAACATCTTGTAAAAACTCACCTGGACTCGTGTTGTGAAATCTTCCCCACATGGAGTCAAGAACCCACACACCACAGGCCGGCCTAAGGCAGACCTGCTCTGGGCCAGTCTGTGTCCGGTAACAATAATACATATTAATACTTACATAAATATATAAATAATACATGAAATGTTGAAATGTCTTTTATTCAAAGCATTAAAAATGATGATTAAATGATATCTTATATAATGAGCATATCATAATCATAATATATACACATATATGGGCTCATGACTAGTTTCTGATCTTTATATAATGAGCATTACCTGTTAAGCGGGGGAATGACGAAAGGTCTTTTAAAGGGGTCTCTGTTAATGAGACCCTGGGCTCATGGCAAGGGCAGAGGCGGAGGCAGAGGCCCCAGGCACACCGAGGGGTTCCTGTCCCATTTCTGAGCAGCAGCAGAGTTTTGGAAAGGCCAGGCAGGGCCGACCCGGGGCGCACCTGGCCGGGGGAATCCGGCGCGGATCCCAGCCTCACCTGCGTGGGAGCTCGCAGCTGCCTGTCGCAGCAGACCCACCAAACATTTAAGTCTGGGGAGAGGATGCCAGGAAGGGGCTAAATGTTGCCCTTCCTAAAATGCAGTGTCTGTAATTTGCCACTTCAATGAATTCTATAATTATGTAAATGTCTACTATTGCAAAAACAGAGGTGGCATTATTTTGAGGTGTCCGTCCAGTGCCTCTTTGGTTGCCGATTCCGCCCAGTCTCCGGCTGCCCGGTGACTGTCTTGCTCCCGGAGTCACAGCCGCCCGTGTCTGGTGGGGAGGGTGCACCAGCCTGGAATAAAGGGGCCAGGGCTAGGCGGCTGGTTTCAGAGGAGACTACGTTGAATTAGACAGCAATGGGCTGTGCTGAGAGAGAAAAGTTATTCCTAGATTTCAGAAGTGCCCCTTTACACACAAGAACAAGGCTTAGAGATGTGAGCACGCAGAAAGTGCAGGACATGGTATAGTTCTTGTCCTGGGGAAAAGGGAAAGTCCTTGTGTTAATGAGGAAGAGGGGGTAGACAAGCGTGGGGGGAAGCGGGAGGGAGAGAGAATATCTACGAAAACAAATATTTATAACCTTCGCCCTACAGTTTCACTCCTAGTAATTTATTCGATAGGAAACATTTCCATTGGTGGAAAAAGTATATAAAATCTTGTCCCTTATAGCAACCTACACAAAAACATAAAATGTCAAGTTAATAAATAGCCAAGAAAAGGGTATTGGTTAAGTGAATGGAAATTCACTTATGGAAAGGAAATTCATTCATTAGTAATCATATAATCCAAAAAAAAAGAGAGAGAGATCTACTAGTATTTGTGCTGATATGGAAAGATGTCCACAACTCATGTTAAATTGTAAGGTATGCTATGCACAATAGGATACTTTATATGAGGTAGTATGATATATGCTAATGTATGCAAATGACAGCCACGGTAGAGGGCCTGGGCTCCTTCGTTATACTTCCCAGGCAGACCCGGCTCCCCCTCATCCTCTCTGTGGCCGTGCGTAAGCCATTCACCTGCTGCAGCCTTAGTTTCTTCGCCTGTGCAACTGAGATTTAAAAGCAGTAACCCTAGAACCTGTCTGGCCAATGGCAGGGACTCAGAATTTGGTGCTTCTCCCCAGAGTGACTGTATGTCTTCCAGGGAAGCAGTTAATGCATAAGACTGGTTAATCCTTCTAGACTCCAAATATAGAATAAGTACAAACTACTATTTTTCCAACACATGTGCAACTTGTAGGCAATAAAATACAGAGTAGTTTGACTGGGTCAACAGGATACTACCAGCCGGTGGGTTGCCGCATATTTTTTTTTAACTGTAATGGCCCCCGTGAGCCAATTTGAAAGTGGGAATCAAGAAACTTAAAGGGGTACATGCCATGGGTCTGATTGGAGGCTCCTCAATGTGTCTCCGAACAGTAATAACAGGGTTCAGATTGCAGCCAGGGATTCAATTTGGGATTGGGGGACTCCAGACACCCTGGTTTCTCACTTTGCATGCGGGGGATGCGTCCTCTTGGTGAAGGGCATCTCCAGAAATGGGGTACACCTGGCTCCCACGCTCCCAGGCTTCTTCTCTGCCACTTAGTGAGTGCCGGGTATCACACCAGTTTTAGGGAAGTGGCTCACACCTTGGTCTCGTTTATCTGTCACAGGTCCCTGTGAGTTAGCTATCCTTAATCCCAATTTATAGAAACCGAGGCTCTGGGAACTTGTGTAATCTATGCAAGACTCCAGGGCTAGGAAAAGGTAGGCGTAGAATATAAATTCAGTCTGATTTCCAAAGAAAGATTTGAAAAGACATCTCCTCACTACTGCTGCCAAGTCCCCGTGGGGCCAGCAGCCTTTTCACCCACAAGCCGGGACGGTGACGGCCACCCCGGGAACAGCTGCCCAGGGCAGAGCCCCATGCCCCCTCGGGGTGGGGCTGTGTGGGTGCTGACCAGGGGGATGAGGGGGTTTGCGCAGAAAGCCCGTCAGCCAGCCGGCCCGAGCCAGGGAAACCCCCCTGGGGCGGAGCCCACTCGCTCCCATCGGGCTCTCAGAGAACATGGAAAGATGGGTCGAGGCAGGAAGAAGAGGTCCCAAGTGGGGAGGCGAGCCGTGAATGGGTCAGGGCACTGCCAGGAGCTGCTACACCAGGACACACACGGTGGCCACTCTCTACAAAGATGCTGCGTGCTGTTTTGTTTTGTTTTGTTTTGTGTTTTGTTTTTTGTTATAGTTTGAAGGGTTTGAAGGCAACTCCAGAATGATGTGGATAGTGTTCCTGCACAATTATGTCCCTGAGGGAGGCAGCAGGGTGTGCTAGAAAGTATTTTGACTTTGGAGGTCAAGAGACCTGCCATTTATTAAGTGCCTGATGTGTGAAAAAAGCACATAAGCTCTTTGAAACCCAGTTTCCAAGTACTTGCAGTAAAAGTAATGTTTTCCAAAAGGATGCTATGGAGATTAAATGCAAAAGTGTGAGATTTACAGAGAATTCCACCTGACCTCTAGCTCGTTCTGCCATGCAGGTCATGCACTAGGCAGTAACCGCCAGCAGGGGGCGCAATGAGGTTAATGGGAGCCCACACTTTGCTCCTGAGCCAGGAGCTCAGGCTCTACTGTCCCTGGTGGAAGAGGACACCAATCTTGAGTGGAAATTGGGGACACTGTTGGGTATGACAGCCTCTTGGTGTCACTATTTATGGTGCAACCCAAGTGACTTAAGAAGGAGGGTAGAAAGGAATCAGGGCAAGGTGAGCAAAAGAAAACAAAGCATCTGATTCACTCCTCAGCTTCCTCATCTGTAAAACAGGGGTCTCAAAACTAAAGCTCTCAAAGTTAAATAAAGTAATATACTTGAAAACAACTGGCACAGAGAGGTTGCCAAATACGTATTTTTCACCCTCCTCCCTCTTTCGGGGGATGCCAGCTCATGGCAAAGGGCAATTGAAACGTTTCCTAAAAACAAGTAAATATTTCATAAACACAACTGAAATTGTTTTTAAAATGTATGTGATTTAAAATAAAATAAGCAAAAAAGAAAATGCATGTGACTTGAAAGTAAAAACTCAAATAAAAGCATTATTGTTGTCAAATAATTAAAAATTAAAATATATTCAGCATGTTGAGGTTCATCAAACTTTTTGTGTATAAAGTACATTCTCTCACAAGAGCAAATTGGCAACGTATCTTTGGATAAAAAAAATGCATAACCTTTGAGCCAGCAGTAATGTTTCTCCGAACATTTCCTAAGGAAATAATCGAGGGTGCGTGGAGATACTTAGTTCCCAGGGAATCCTTTGATAGCAACATATTAGAGACACTTAAATGTCCATCAGTCAAAAATTAGTAAGCAAAATGTGGTATATCCACAATGAATATGCTTTGGAGTTGTAGCAGTACCTACATTGTCATGAAGAACTGTTTACTACTTATTATTGAGTGTCAAAAAAAAAAGGAGAAAAGTTTTTAAAATGTTTGTGGAGTGTGCTGCAGTGATTATTTTGTACCACACTCCCTGAAGAGATATAACATAGGTATATGTATATATATGAACACACATGTAATTATGTGTATTTCCTGGTGATGAGATGAAGGGCACATTTTGCCATCAATTTGTTCTGCAGTTTCTGACTTTTCTAAAATGAGTATATGTTCCTCTAAAAAGATGCAACATTTTTTCAGGATTCTCATGCTTGGAAGTGTTGGGATAAAGGGCCTCATGACCAGCCTTGCCCTCGGGAGGGCAGGAGCCGGGAGACCGCAGACACGCAGGTTGTGTGCCTGCCGCCTTCCTGGGCGGGAGTTCAGACGGCGCCCAACTCTCCTTCTCCCTGGAAGGAAACGCGGAAGGAGTTCGAGACCTACCTCCCCGGAGGATGGGCTGTGGGGACCAGGTGAAAGAGGTGAAGGGATTAAGTGCCAGTTGGTAGTTACAGAACGAACGTGGGGACGTGACATACAGCACAGGAAGAACAGTCAGTAATATTGTAGTAACCACATCTGGTGCCAAGTGGGCCCTGGAAATACCAGGGTGAACACTTTGTGTGTAACATATACGATTGTCTCATCACTGTGCTGTACACTTGAAAGCAATACAAAGTCATTCTGAAAGTAAACTGTAATTGAAAAATTTAAAAATAAGTCAATTTCACATTTTAAAAAAAGAGTTAGAAAGACCTATTTGAACAATGGGGGAGCCGACGTGCCCACAGCCCTGCCCGACGCACTGGTTGCCCTGCCCGGGCCCTGCCCGCTCGGCACCGGCGCTCACAGCTGCCGGTGAGAAGGCAGACCCGTTAAACGCTGTGAAGTCCTACAATTACAGAATAAATTTTAAAAGTGCCTTTATGGTATTATCAAAAACCATCAATTACTTAAGTATAAATCTAACAAATTAGGTTCAGAAAACTACAGTATTGCTACGAAACGCTTTGAAAATATCTTAATAAACAGTTATTGCTGTATACTGGGAGGCGAGGGTAGGAAGGGACAAAATGATAATGGGGAAAAAACACCATAATGATTAAAATTAAAAAATTAAAAAGAAAACAGAGTGATATGCCAAGTTCCTGCATTAGAAGACTCATGATCATGGAAATGTCCGTTTTCCCCAAATTGAACTTTAATATAATTCCAATTAAAATCTTAAGGATTTTTAATGAAATTTTATAAACTGATTCTAAAACTTACACAAAAGTTCCAAAAATTAAGGTAATCAAGACAATCTTATTTTTTCTGTTTTTTAAAATTACAGTTGACATACCATATTATATTAGTTTCAGATGCAGAACACAGTGATTAAACATTTATATGACTTACAAAGTGTTCACCCCAAATCAAGACAATCTAAAACAAAGTTATTAGGGGTTTAGGGTGGGGAGGGGGGAAAAAAGAAAAGAAGGAAATTAGCTAATTTTATGATTATTACTTATAGTAGGACGCAAAGGTAATAACCCAAAAAGAGAATGGCGCAAGGGTAGTACTGAAAGGTCACAGTATAAAATAACTAGCAGAACAAAAATGCAGACCTTTCCAAATACAAAACATATAGTAAGAGAGAGAAAGGGAGGCAGATTACACAAATAAAACAGGTTACATAGTGAAAGATTATATACCTAATAAAGAGGAAATGTAATAGTAAATAAAATAACAAAAAGGTAGGATGGGTTGTCCTTTTTGGCACCACAGAGGCAAGTCATAAGGAGCACAGAAAAGGGGACTATCCTGGGACTTGGCTCTGGCTGGAGTCCTGCTGTCACACACTTGCTGGGTGGCAAGTCACTCCTCAGTCCTTGGCCCTCAGTTTTCAGACCGCGAGGGGGCTGGGCCAGATGGCCTGCGAGGGTCTTCCCAGCTTTGACAGACTGCAGTTCTGCGTTCTGTGGGTTGAAGCCTGGCTGCGCATGTAGTTCTATCTCAGAGCCCTGTTCTGACTCATGGAACAAGGTCGCACCCAACACACTCCAGGGCCAAATCTGACTTCTCTTCTGTCCTCATGATGATGTGCCGTCTTTGCTTTGGGCTTCAGAGACCTGACCCGCTAACTAATCTCATCCACACGACGCTGCTAGGAAAAGAGACACTATGCCCATTGTAAGTGAAAAAGCTGAGGCTCAGAGAAAGAAAGAGAATCTTCCAGGTGTCAGACCCTGTGACCTCTGAAGAGCCCTTCTAAGTGGATAGTACTGCCCCCACTTTACAGATGTGAACACTGAGGTCCATAGGGCAAGATGAGCTTCCTAATGATACACTGGCAATGAGCGGCAGGGCCCCTTTTCTGGCTCGGAACTACCCCATCTTCCCTCTACATGGTGCTGCTGCTGCTATTTACAGCTTCTCTACAGGATGTGAAATGAGAGCCCTAGCATGACGCAGTCCTTCTGGCTCACCCTCTCACAGTGCTCTCCAAACAGACCGAGAGGCCTGAGCAAGTCACCTCACCTCCCTGTCTCTGTTTCTTCGCCTGTAAAATCGGAGGTAAGAGTCCCTATTTCTTTTTCTTTTTTCAAAAGATTTTTATTTACTTATTCATTTGTAGGCAGAGGGGGAGGGAAGGGAGAAAGAGTGGCAGAGAAACATCAATGTGGGGTTGCCTCTTGTGTGCCCCCTAGTGGGCACCTGGCCCACAGCCCAGGCATGTGCCCCCCACTGGGAATACACCCAGTGACCCTTTGCTTCGCAGGCAGCTGAGCCACACCAGCCAGGGCAGAGTCCCTATTTCATGAGGGTGTTAAAATCCTTGTTGAAAGAGTTAAGTGAGATCTTGTCTTTAGAGCATTGCGCCCACATGAAGTCCTCAGCAACTGCTCATTCTGACTGTGTTTGGAAACAGTAGTGCGTCCCTGTGAATAACACCAAGCAGGCCCCATCCTACCACATCAAGTGAAAACACAAAGAAACTGTATTTTTTTTTTTTTTAGTTTTATTTTGAAAACACAGGATCAATTGCATCACCCACATATCTGCAAGAGCAGAGACACAGTGGAGGCAGACCATCCCCACAGGAGACATGTGTCCTTTGGTAAAACCAACATAAATTATGGAAATAACACCAAATACTATAGCAGAGCACATGATGAAGATTAAGTTAAGAGAAGGAACAGGGACTGCTGGGAGCAGCGGTGAACACGGAGAAGGTGCATCGTGCTGAGAAGCGCGGGGCTCCGGGACTTCCCTGAAGACCTGGCCCCGCACTGGGGCGGCTCAGTTCAGTTCGAGGTCGTTTATGTACTCCTGGACCCAGGAGTCACTGGGGTTGGAGCACACCTGTCTGCCCCTTTTGGTTTGGAATCTGTGGAAAGAGGAGCGGATAGATTAGAATCGCACGGGACCTTGTTGGTGGTAGATGTCTCCCTCTGCGTGACCACAGTTCACGTGGGACAGCTCCAGTGGGCAGCAAGACCCTTCCGGGGCCGTACTGGAAACGGACTCCTTGTAACTCCCCCCCTGGATTTAGCTGTGGCCTCAAGGTTGCCCAGATTAGGAACCAATTAGTTTTACAATCAACATGGCTGTGTCTCCCCATTCATCTTCTAGTGCCCCAGCAATAAATTTTCCATGTGTTTTTCTAAGCATGGTTTAAGAAATCAGCCCACACGTCCTGTGATCTTTTTGACTCTCTCTGGTTCCCTTGCCTCTGGCTAATTTTTTTCCAGAACCCCAGCATCTTGTCCCTCGACTCCTTCCCAGCTCCTTCCAGGACTCAACAGGTGACTTCATGACTTTGTTCCTTACTGCTTTCTGGGAGGGCTTCAGCCCTGAGACCTGCCACCCTACTGTTAGAGCCTCTCTCCCTGCCCTAAATAGGCCCCTAATCTAACCCTGCCCTCGCCCTTGCCTCCCAGAGCAGCCCAGAGGTCTGTACTTACACGACAGCTGGCTGGGAGCAAAGGCTGCTGGTCTCGTAGTAATCTACCACGAAGTCGCGAGGAAGCTGCCGCGTGGTGAAGCTGAAGCAGCAGGCGGTGGGAGGGTCTGAGCCCACTGGAAAGAAAGGCCCAGGTGAGATCAAAGCTCCATGAGGAGTTCTTGCTTTGGTTTTTAGTAAAAGATACTCAAGCGGCATCTCTGTGGAGTTACCAGATCCCCAAGTACGGTCCCTTGTACCCAACTCCACCTGCCCCAGGTAGGAGTCTTTTCCTGAATACAGGATCCCAAGTGAAGGTCCCAGAGCTGGATTGGGTCTCAGAGTGCACGTCTAGCTCCATTTGACAGATGAGGAAACCAAGACACACAGAGAGACGGGGACTTTCTTAAACAAGTCTGCTGGCTACTATTTCTTAATAAAATAGGAACTCGACTATAACCGAATGTCTAGTAGACACTACATTTAACAGCAGGCTACTTAAAAATCTTCCCAGCTCCCTTCTGTGCCATCCCCAGATGCCACTGTTGGATCAGCCCCAACTGGAAAAGCGGGCTGTGCCTACACATGGCCCCAGAAGTAGTAGCTGGATGGACACACTTACTCGGTGCCGAGAGCGCTGGAGAACAGAGGGCAGCGCCCAGAACGAGGAGAGAGAGGACGGTCACGCAGAGCTTCATGGTCTTGGCGGAGAAGAGGCTTTCTCGGAGCGGAGGCTTACAGACCCCAGAAGCTTCAGAACCCGACTGTGTTCTGTGCTGACACTGAGTTGGGACCCCCTCTTTATAGGACCTCTGAGGACTGGAACAGAGGTGGGAGGCCAATGGAATTTCCAGGCTGAAGATGATGTCATGGTGCCGATAAGGAAACCGAAGCTAGCTGACAGTGGGGAGCTCGTCGCAGCTCCTCTTCCCCAGGGCGTGGTCATCATGGTGGAAAGGAGGGGGAGGTGGAAGGGAAGGGGGCTGTACCCTGGAGGGAAGTGGTAGGCCAAAGGCAATGACCGAGGAGAGAATTGTAAACCCGAGAGGAAGGATGAAACATTCACACCTGCTAGGCGAGGCTTGTAGACAAGAACCCCGCTGCTCTCGGCGGCTGGCACCCCCAGAAGTTGGAGGCTTCGTGTCAGTCTTTCCAGGGTTGCCACAAGCCGGGCCTCAAGAAGGAAGGGGGAGCCAGGACTTGAGGTCACATCCCTGGGCCTCCTTCTGCCGGGCTGAGTGACCTTAGTGCCCTGTATGCTTCCCTGGGCATGAAGAGTCCAGCACTGAATGTGCAGAAGGACAATGGTCTACTTACTGAACACTCGCTATGTGCCAGACTCTGGGCGAGCTGCCTTAGGACACGACGTCAAATCCCACCCCCACCCTGAGCAGGGGTGCGACTGTTCTTGGGGGGCCGTAAAGGTCGCAGAACAGAGGGGAGCTCACTGACGCCCTCAAGGCCACAGTTAAGTTGCTGTGCCCAGATTGGAAACGAGAGTCTTCTGACTATAAAATCCATTTGCTTTCCACCCTGTTGCTGCAAATACAGAATGTGGCCACAGAGCAACTGTTGCTCGCTAGGGGCTTTGCACCGCACAAAGGACCATCTCACTAGGGCTGAATGCAGGAGTTTGGGCCAGTCTATTCTAGAACAAGAAGGAAACAGAAGGGGAATTCAGGAGTTTGGGCCAATCTATTCTAGAACAAGAAGGAAACAGAAGGGGAATTCAGGAGTTTGGGCCAATCTATTCTAGAACAAGAAGGAAACAGAAGGGGAATTCAGGAGTTTGGGCCAGTCTCTTCTAGAACAAGGAAGGAACAGAAGGGGAAAGAAATAAAAGTTTCAGTATGTTCACTGGGACCCATAATAGAAAAGGGGAAAGAAACCAGTAAGAATCAAGCTTGGAAGACCCAGACAAAGCACGTTCTTCCATAATTGACCTGTAATTTACAAAGCGATCCCCTCAGTGAACCCAACACTCATCTGACACAATGTGCAGCCATCACAATAGTATTGACTATATTCCCTAGGCTGTGCTTTACATGCCCCTGACTGTTTTGTAACTGCCAGTTTGTACTTCTTAATCCCTTCACCTTTTTTACGTTCATAAATTATGTCTAACCGCTATGCCGTACACCTGAAACTAACATAAAATGATATTGAATGTCAGCCTTAATTTAAAACATAAAAAAAGATGTCTCTCTAGTATAAAAATGGGGTTGGATATACCCAGCAATGAGTTTCCCTACGTTATGGATCAAACATGTAACCCAAGCATGTGGGTGTTTCCCAGCCATCGAAAGGGAATTCCTTGTGTTCCTATAAAGCCCCACCTGGTTCGGCAGCTGGGTTCTGGGAGGCTTCAGCCCTGAGGCCTGACGCTGCCATGAAGGTGACCCGGTGAGGCTCACAAGGCCAGGAATACCGCGGTACGTGCCGCGGGCCAGAGGGTCCGGTTAGGATGGCTGGATTAAGATCTCTGCCCACCTTCAGCTCAACTGTTCTCTGACCCACCTGCTCACACCCAGCCACCATTGCTACCTGCCTCTGCCATGAGAAAAAAAGAGTAAAGTGTGAAAACAGGAAACCAGGCGCACCGGGTGCTGTAGAGACAGGGGATAGAAGGGGGCAGAGCAGCATCGTGGGGTGCTTTAGGGTCCCCAAATACAGAACAGTGTCATTTTACTGCCTCTGCCACCACCTACACACACACCCCCCCCACACACACTTGTACAGATTGTACTTCTTTCTGCCACCCCCGGTCCTCACCCTTCTCCTTGTGTGAGTCTTGTTTCACATGCTCTGATCTTCACCAAGACCCTGTCCCCAGTTCTACTGTTCTGTGATCCCTGATATCGCGATGCTAGTACCTCTCATGGTACCTCCTGGTCTGTGGAAGACCTTACTTGAAGGGAAAGAGGATGTGACTTGTGTTCCCTGGGATTTACACAGACTTTGTTACCCATGCCTTTTCCGCTCAATCCAATTTAGAAGTCATCGCCCTTTGTCAGGGAAGGTAGAACAGAATGAGGCCCCATCCCTCACGTCAAAGACTTCTTACTCTAGCGATGGTGTTGATAGTGACAGAAATAACTACCCCAGCCCTGGCTGGTGTGGCTCAGTGGATTGAGCACCGGCCTGCCAACCAAAAGGTCACCGGTTCGATTCCCAGTCAGGGCACACACCTGGGTTGTGAGCCAGATCCCCAGGTTGGGGGTATGCTAGAGGCAACCGATTGATATTTCTCCCCCTCTCTTTCTCTCTTCTCCTCTCTCTATAAATAAATAAATAAAAATTTTTAAAAAGAACTAACTATCCCATGAGTCTCATAAAGTATCATAGCAGAGGTAGAAACAAAATGTCAGCACATCCCTCAGCTGTAGACAATAGTTCCACGTCAAGTCTAAATTTCACCGTGTGCTCAGGAGGAGCCTTTACAGAGAGGCCTCCGTGTAAACGAGAGGCGTGTGCTGGCTGTCCAGCTGGGGTCGGGGGGCGGTTTGGGAGATTCCTGCTCTGGGGCATAAGGAGCAGGAGGACGGAGAGGAATGGGCAATGAGTCTGCACGGAGCTGTGCTCTGAGCCAGACTGTAGCTTCCTAGCCTTGGTTTCGTCTTTGGCTCATGGGGGAAACGTTTTGTTCATGAAGTCCCAGCAGTAACGTTGTGTTCACACTAGCAAACTTCAACACCAAGAGTACAAAGGGCTTGTGTGCCAATATGTTTAGCTAAGGTTTCTACAATGAGGCCATTTCTAAGTAATAGGTAATGGAGAATGATAAGAAATGCTTCTTGGATACACAGCAAAAAGATCACAAAAAGGGGGCTCATCTCTATGGAAGCTTCCCTAACCTCTTCTCCAGCTGGATTCTGCATCGCCCTCTGTGCTTCTGCAGATCTGGAGCTGCCTCCTGCCTGTAACATCTCCACCTATTTGATTGCGTCCCACAGGGGGACAGAGAGCTCCTTGATGCAGAAAATGTGTTATGCCTATCTCTGTGCACACAGTAGGTGTTCAATAAATACTTGTTTAGTAATCATCTGGAGGCAGCCCAAACTACCAGTTTTAAGGGAAGTGGGTATGACAGGTAACAGGAGGCAAACTCCACTTGAGTTGAGTGACGTAAGAGCAAACTGGGCATTCTTACACTGTTCGAAATGTGATTCCCCAGCCCTGATGAGTTAATAATTCCCCTCCTCCCCCTCTCCTCAGCCCGCGTACTCAGTGGCTTTATTGTAAGGGATACTATTTTAGGACTCGGTCTTTTCAGCTCAGGAGTCTGAGAAACGAGAGAGAAACTTGACACGGTTTTAGGGACCTCCAGATGCACGCCAGGCCTCCCCCTGCCCTGCCCTCCTGCTCCAGGGAAACTGTTCACTTCCCCTCGCTCGTGGTAACACAGAGATTTCCCCTTCTATGCCAGCACTGTGCTCATAACTCTGTTCTGGGCACTTTCACATCTGTTTTGTCACTTTGTCCTCCCAGCCTCTGTAAGCCGCACGTATGACTGGCAACCCAGAAGTGACAGGCTTTGCGAAGGCCCCGGGACTTTTGATTTCTGCCAGCATATCCCTGTCCACGGTTTTATCTGACCCCAATCTGTTTTGCTCTTATAGCAGAACCTAGAGAAGTTAAAAGACTTGATTGATGTCACACAGGAGACACAAGGTCTTCCAACTCCTGGTTCAGAGATAACCAAACTTCCTTTACAGGCGTGGCCCTCTGAGATGCAAACATAGGGGATCTCTGAAGATACCAAACCCTCAGGGGGATGCCAAAGTGGATAAGGAGCAGGAGACAGAGGTGACCGGTCTTGATATTCTGTGTTCTAGAACGAGAGTGCTGAGATGCGTGAGTGTGGGGGAGACCGCTGGGTGCTGGAGCCGAGAGCACTGGCCCCAAGGAGGTGGAATGCCCAGAACTGGCGACGTGCTTGCAAGCGACTTCTGCTGTTGGAAATCCAAGGTGAGCCGCAACACCTGCGAACCAAAGGGTCGCCTGTTCACGTCCCTGGCAGGGCACGTGCCTGGGCTGCGGGCCAGGTCCCCAGTTGGGGATGTGCGAGTGGCAGCCACACACTGATGTTTCTCTCCCTCTCTTTCTCCTTCCCTTCCTTGCTTTCTAAAAATAAATAGAATATTTTTAAAAAAGAAATCAAGAAGAAGGTAAATCCCTTGGTTTTGCCAGTATGGTAACCAAGTCCCTTGGGGGAAACAGGATTGCAGATTAAAGAAATGAGCCCACAATTATCCAAAGTGAGGGGTTCAGGACGGAGCCCGGGGGAGGATGGACTGGTTAACTGGTTGAAGCAGTTCCCCAGGGCGGCCACACTCCCCCCGCAGCCAGTCGGCCCCACTCTTCTTAAAGGGGAAGGACCTTGACTCCCACCACAGCCTGATCTGTGCCAGTCAAGGGCGGAGGGCAGGGACACAGCGGGTGTTAAATCCTGAGAGAAGCTCAACGGCTCGCCAGTGTCCAACAGGTGCAAGGGAACCTTCAGCGTTCTCTATGAAGCACCTTCCTCCCTTCCTTCAAACAGGGCTTTTATGCTTGTTTCTAGCTCTCTTCTGGAATATCCAGCAGGAGAGGACGATACTTCAGTAAAACGTAACTAAGTACCTACTATACGACAGGCACCAAGTCAGGCATTGAGGACACACGCTTTGGAAAGTGGCAGTGAAGTGTTAAAAAAGGC